AGTTTCCGGGGATCCAATATCCTCTTCTGGCCTCTAGAGGCAACACACTAGTAGGGTACAGATAAAGAGACAGATATGCAAATATCCATTCACATAAAATAAACATGTCTTAGAAATAAAAAGCACCATAGAGCATACTTAGTAATTATAATTTGAGCTATAAAAAAACAAAACCTGGGCTGGAGAGATGGCTCAGAGGAAAAGAGCACTGCTTGCTCTCACAGAAGTCCTGAGTTCAATTCCCAGCTACCAAATGGTGGCTCATAACCATCCATAATGAAACCTGGTGCCCTCTTCTGGCATTCAGGTGTACATGCAGGCAAAACATTGTATACACAATAAAATAAATAAATATTAAAAAAAAAAACAAAAACAAAAACAAAAAAACAAAACCCAATTCTTCAGAGGGTCATACGTTAGTGCCATTTTAGAGTAGATGGTGGCTATCTTAAAGGTCAGGCCACTTAAGATACACTTATTCTCTTATCCAGAATGTTAGTATTTTGAATATCCATCCCACATCCATCTATAGTAAGTTAAGGCAATAATCCCCTCATAAAAACAAAAAACCAAAAGAAATCAAGACTTGTCTACAGACTCCATGTTCCAAGTCTGCTTCATTGGCCAGCAGAGAGCACCTGTAGGATGAAGCCGACCTCTGAGGTAAGCAGGACTGGTTAAGTGATACATAATTCATAATTTATAAAGCTTCATTATTTCAAAACAGCAGCAGTTATAAATATAAACCTTTATACATCTCCTTACACAGCTTAGAAATTTTTCTAAAATTTAAAATAAATGTAAAAAGGACATATTGCTTCTCCTCAGTAGTGTTTCCACCGTCATATGCTTTCCCAGCTGATCTGCCTCCATAAATTAAGCCAAAGAGCATGAGTTAACTACATTGTGAAGTTCAAAAGGGACTAACAGTATAAAATACAGGCAATCCATCTCAAAATGGTATCATTTTGACTTCAGAATTTTATTTCAAAGGTTGTATAGGTCAGATTATAGGGTGTTAAAACCTGGGTGATTATCAAGGATTCTCAATAAGAAAAGAGTAATGAGCTAAGAAAGCTTCCCATCTTGCATTTGGTATAACCTCCTGGTAGTAATATAACCATTCAATTAGCTATCAGTTAACCATCCAAGAACAAAATCATTTTATTGCAATTTCTATACCTGTCGTAACAAAATGTTTATTAAAAAAGCAAAGTATGTAAATTTTTATTAAACTGCAGGTACTTAGCCAAAATTAAGGCACAGGTTGGTCATTTAGAAAGTAGTAAATGAGAACAGTATTACCACAGCATCACAAAAGGCTGATACAGCATGACTAAACATGGTTCCTTTGAGTGTACGTTTTGTGTCTTGTTCTTTAAAACTCAGTCTACTTATTAGATGGCATGTGGATGACAACTGACAAGTTTGTCATAAACACGAACCTCCTGAGAGATGTTCTAAGTGATGTGTTAAAGGCTGAAAGTATGAAAACCCTTTCCAAGGCCATAGTGGTATGCACAGCCTTTCAACACAGCACCATAGGCCATCATCAGTGACAGCTTACAGCTTCTCCAGATCCTCTTCATTCTGTGAAGTCAATTACAGAGTGTGTAACTAGTGACTCAGTATGACGTAATTCTCTCCAATACTCCTAATAGGATCAATCATTACAAATGCCACAAAATACATCATTAACCTGGATGACAGAGGTCCACGGCCTAAAAGGTGTAACAACTCATATCTCAGTCATGGCTGCACAGCCAGAAACAAAAGGATCATGAAGGGCTCCTGCATTCTTCACATTGTGCTCATGTACAAAGTCAGTGTAGTTTCTATGTGCAGTCTGGGCTGGGGGCAAGGCCCTTGTGTTCCACTGGTTTCCACCACGTTGACAGCGGTCACTGGTAGCAGAGAGCCTAGATGGTTGAGGAGTGGGGAGTACAGTTAGTCAAGAGGAACAGAGAACATGGATGTGAAAAGGAGAAAGGCAATGTGAGCAGCATGCACCACCAGTGAGCAGGTACCATGCAATGACAACATTCAAGAACAGCAGAGGGGGATCCACAAAGTTACACGGCACATGCAATGGAAAACACCAATATGGAAACACATGTAAACAGAAGAGATAAGTGAATTAATTAATGAAGGAAAGTCACAGAAGGTAAAACACTCTGTTATCTATTCCTGATGTTTCTGGGGAACTCTAACGTAGAAATGTCTGGAATTCGAGTAGAAAAAAAAAAAAAACCCAAAAAACAAACAAATAGATAAAAAAAAACCCAAAAATTCTAAGTAGAGCTTTATTCAGATATTTGAAAGAATTCTACTAAAGGACAAAAAAATCAACCAACCAACCAACCAAAAAAAAAAAAAAAAACATATATGAAAAAAGAAGAATTATAAAAATGATCTCCAATATTACACAACTTTTAAAAAGTGTAAACCCAGAAAACAAGAGTCAGAAGCATCAAAAACAACAACAAAAACAAACAAACAAACAAAACTGCCCACAGACATCAAGCAAGTTTATACCAGTGCTCAAAATTAAGCAATAATCAGACATCACCTTATACTAAATTAAGAATAATCACTGTACCTTCTTCAATCAAAGTCCACAGGAGCACAAACTGAGATGCAACGGGTGGACACAGCACAAGAAGTGGCCCAGGCACAGGAGAACTAGAAGGCAGACATGCACAGACATGCACACATGCAGTTCTGGGTGGAGTGGCAAGAGTCCTCCGGAGAAAGAGAACATCTGCATGGCTCAAAAACTACACTTTTGTGATCTGACAACGAGGGCAGCACATATGTCACATAACCAGAAAGATCATTCAAATTCAAAAAACATCTAAAATCTAGATAAAAAAATTATTCTTTTTCAAACTCAAAAAAATATTAATTTTTCATTTTTTTTTCCTCAGGGAAACTGCAAAGGATTTTTCAAAACATACATGAAATGTATGTTGTTTGCCTTATTTCATTTCCATTGAAATTCAACTAACTTATCAGACCTAACAAGCAAAATTCATCCCTTGATTTAGAATCTCTAAAAATTTAGAAATTAAATTAGGCTTATGTTCTGGTTTACAGATGTAGGACTTTCTATTTCTTTCTGTCTTTGCCTGGAATCACAACCCCTTTGCGCCTTCTCCCCAAGTACTAGATTACAGGCATGCTTTATTCTGTTTTAAGATAAGGCCTTCCTTGTTGCTCAGGCTGGACTCAAGTTCCAGGACTCAGTGGATCCTCTGGGCTCAGCCTCTCAAGCACTGTCATCTGGCTTCTTTTAGTAAGAAAATTATGAATAAAGTGATATGAAGTACAAATTCTAAGTTACTGACATATCACATCATTCACCTAGTTAATGGCTTCATTTAGGATGCCAGGAAAAAAAAAAAAAAGATAAAGACTTGAACAGGAAACAAGTTTAAATTAAATTGGCTCCAAATTATCTGCCAGAAATAAGATGTTTCAGACTCTGTGCTGCTCAATCCAGTAATTGGTTTCTAAATTTTATTAACACTTTCTACAGGAGGACTGTTTTATATTCTCTGAAATCTAAGCATGCAGAAACAAAGAATGAGAGCAGAATGCACATTAAAGGCTAGAGAATTAACAGCTCTAAGACATGTCAGCCATAGGTTCAGTTCCATGCCCTGCTGACGTACTCTGAGGCTCATCAGGTTTTTAGGGTCATCTCTACTCCATTTCAGCAAAGGAGGTCTCTGCACAACCGTCTAAAGGGAAAGGACACACAGCTCCAAGATATTTCATTTTTCTTGAAACTCAAATTCAATATTCTCTCTAAAGGCTATATCAAGAAAACTGATAGTGCCTAGAGAATCAAATTAAACAGATTTAAACATGTACTCATTAAAATGGAATAAAGACAGCAGCATAACACAGGATGTTTACTAATCAGATTCTCAGACATGCATACACTAAGACAGGCTTTTTCACAGCTGAAGTCTTGTCACTATTTTTGTGTGACAATCGGCCTCAATGGCACATTATGGAGATGGGGCATAAATGCTTACTGGGACTGTTATCTTCAGCAAGAAATTGAAACTTCTCATGTCTTTAAATAAAGACTAAAACTTGACATTTGTAGGCCTCTTTGGTATTCTTTTGGTAGGTGTATATGAACATACATCATAAGTACCCTGTGCCATATTCCCAAAAGGACAAAAAAGGGAAGGAAATTTTTAAAAAGGACAAAACAAGGATGGAACTTTTCTTTGATCTTAAGTGCAAGTTATCTGGAACTGAAATAAAATATACCCAACCGCCTCAAGCAAAGCATCCTGTAGTTAGTTAAGCCAACAATACTGTGGAAAGAGTACAAAGCACAGACCAGAAATGATCACCCACCACTGCTGACCCACCACCATGAAGGAAGAACTGGATGCACAAAAAAACTGACCCAAACCTTGAGAACACCACAGAAACTTGTTAGATTTCAAGTATTAACAAACTAAGAGGAAGAGAAAAAGAGAAAAATCCCACGAATCATCCAAGTGAATTTCATAAACAGACATAAAGCCTGAACAGATGATATATCTGGTAAGACTACTCAGCCCCAAAATTTCCAAGGAACCCCTTCCCAAGCCACACAGCTTTCTAGGAAAGCAAGAACCCAACTGATTAAATCCAATAAGCCACAAAGTATCCATATTTGTGTGTTTACTGTTTATATCTTTACTCTCACTGGATTTTTTCTCCAGTTCCTCAAACTGGAATTATTTTAAGACTTTAGTCAGCTACTCCCAGACTATAGCAATGAAATCAAAGGCAGCTGTCTCATGTTCTGCTGTTAGACAGCTGTCCTCCCCGCTTCATGCACACACCTTATGTTCACCATCTCTCCAAATGCTCCTTTCAGCTCACAAATATGAATAATTTGTTTTAAATCATATTCAAGGTGCCTTAAGATTATAGCTTAAATTTTAGAATACAATTATGAAAGCAGTATTTGCTTCAAGAAGTTAACAAACCATTTCCTGTCGTGTTGGTCTGCTGCAGAGTTCTGTGGAAGATTCTCTATCTCTACCAGCACAGGACCAGAGGATGAGGAAGAAGCCACAGGCACAGGAGACCTCATTCCCCAAGCCTTTGGGTAAAATTATAAGTAAGGTCAAATACTAACAAAGAGAAATACCAACATCAACAAACAATATTAAAATGGAGTGCCATCTATACAGTATATAATCAAATGTCTGAATTTTATACACTAATTTTAAATAATAAGTGAACATTCACAACTTGCTGATGTCCCAGACTTATAGGGACAGAAAATATTTCATTAGTCATTTACTCTTCTTATAGTATCTTAGTAAAACAGAAGAAGTGATAGAGGTAAAAAAATATACAAAACTTGTAAAAGATCACACACTACAAAAATCCAATTAATTCAGACAGTCACTATAATTAACTGTGTTCTAGTACTTTAGAAACTACTGTCTTACCTGCTGGGAGTCATTATTCTGGGTTGAAGCATTATGAACACTGTAAAGAAGAAAAAAAATCAATTAAAAAACCTACACTCAAGGGTTTGGAGTAAAGGGAGAAATGTTAATAAAAATACAAAAAATGCTAACAAACATGAATATAGACTCAAATCAGAATAAATGTGATTACAAAATGTTTCCTCAAATGAATGTAAAATAGGTTCAAAATTTGAAATTACATGGCTAACTTGCATATTAAAAGTCTATTTTATAGCATAGTTTAAAATATTTTCATGGAACCAATATTAGTAACATCTTGTGTTTATGAGTTCACCACCTGTATAAAATATCTTAGATCTCTCTAAGGTACCAATTCATACTCTGAAGCTGAATCACTGTATCATTAAGAAAATAAAATCCAAGAGCACAACTGCATAGTCCTTTGGTAAGTCTGACATATATATACACATATAAAGTCTACTGGCAATTTTACATTCACTTTTAATTTTGTATAATTATAATTCTTTTTTTATTACTACTAAAATAAAGCACATAATTCCAGGTTATTACTTTCTTCTCTTCTTCTTTTTTTTTTTTTGAGACAGTTATCATCATATGGTACTAGCTGACATGGAACTTGCCACCTAACTACTCTGACCCCAAACTCAGATCTGCTTGCCATTGCCTCTAGAGTGCTGAGACTAAAGATGTGTGGTACCACTTAGGAAGTGGCTTCACTTCCTAAGATTATACACATGCTATTCAAAGCACCACCAACAATCTTAACACTGTTGCAGTGAAACTGTTTTTGTGGTTCCTCAATCCCACACTTGCTTTTCTACTGCTATTTGTATTTTCTGTACACACACATTTTAACCGTGCCTCATATCCAGTAATCTCCCACTACATGCTCTCATTGAGCCAAAGAGGGTACTAAGCACTTCCATCTCAGGATCATTCATATTTGGAACCTTCAAACTTCTTTCTTCCAGATGTCCATGAGGAGTTTAAAAATGTCCATAACCTAAAACAGTGGTTCTCAACCTTCCAAATGCTGCTGACCCAACCACAAATTTATTTCATTTCATATATATTAAATTCAATTTAATTCATAGCTGCAATTTTGTTACTGTTAGGATTGTTATATAAATATCTGATATGTGACCCCTGAGAAAGAGTTGTTTGATTCCCCAAAGGGGTAAAAACTTTCAGGCAGAAAACCACTGACTTAACTGACCTTTCCACCCTATCTCTGACTTGTTATTGGTTATTTTTTTTTAAATTAATAACTATTTTTACTTATAACTTTTATTAAAAATACTCAGTTTTATGTAATTTGTGCAGAATTATTCTAATTAGTACAAGTAATAGGGCAATGGGACTTCAGCTTCATCAAAAACATTACACCTTTGTAAAACATCTCTTACTCAAAATGTTAGGAATTTTAAAAGGTTTTGGTCTTCTCTTTTAAACATTTACTTTGTGGGTCGAGCTATCTGGCGAGAGGTTCTTTCCAGCATGTGAGCCCTGAGGATTGAACTGAGAACATTAGACTCTGCAGCAGTTCATCCAGTGACTCACCTCGTCACCCCCATTTTTAAAAGACTCATTCCATTTTTGTTTATAATGTGTGTGTGCATTTGTGTACCCACATAGGTGGGTGCCTGAAGAGGCCAGAAGGCTTGCATCCCTTGGAACTGGAGTTACAGGTAGTTGTGAGCTGCCCAATGTGAGAGTGATGAATCAAATGTAGGTCCTCTGGAAAAGCAGCCAGCATTCTTCACCAGTGATCTCAATTGCTATTCCCTCCTGACAATGAAGGGTGCTGGGCGACTTCCAGGACATCCACATTTGATTTCTACCTCCCTCTTCCCTTTTTACCTAAAGAGTTATGGTTGCCCTTCCCAGACTCCTGGTGAAAGTGATGACCTAGTAAGCACATAAAATATCACTAAGCCTGTTGAAGCAGAAGCTAGCCACAGTAAGTCTATGGTTCATTTGTTACTTTGAAATATTTCTTTTAGCTGGGAATAACTTCAGTAGTAAACCCCCATCCCTGAAAAAAAGTGAATTCAAACTTGAGAAAAACATCTCTTATTTGAATAATATGATTTGAATAATATGATTTGAATAATATGAAATACAGAAAACACTACTTTTGTCACACTTTCTTAATAGTTAAAAAGTGGGGTTTGGGATGTAGCTCACTGGCAGAAGGCTTGTCTAGCATTCAGGATGATCTGGGTTTGAGGCTTAGTTCCAGAAGGACAAAAACAAGGAACTATTAAAGAAGAGACAACTGAAGTTAATTTAAGGCACTTGATAATAAACTTAGTTTCTGTATATTCAGGGCATATTAGAGAAGAGCCTCTGTACAATAGTACCACATGCAGTAACTGACGTCTGGCACATAGACAGCTCCTGCTTAATCTCCTTCCCTTTCCTGTGTCAAGGCTGCCTCTAACCCAGGCACAAAGATATATGCCTACAGCCTCACTCAGTGAGAAGGAAGCTCAAGTAGGAGAAAACTGTACTAGTAACCAAAACCATCACCATCCTTTAAACACTACCTTTTCTTACTATACTTTTAGTCCAAGCTCACAAGAGAAAATATTACCAGAAAAAGACAGACACCAGCAATATACAGACCTGCTATTCAAACTTGTACATTTTATAAAACAGCAGAGGACAAGGTCAAGAAATATTTTATATCCAGTTAAAAAAGGCTCTGTTCCTTATGGTCCACTGGAGCATTCATGCAAACAGAGTAGCAAGGGCAAGAGTGAAGGGCATGGATGCCATTCCAAGCTCAGGTTTTCCAGAGCACTATGTGAAATTACTTCAGGAGGAATCGTGGTCTCTCATTACTTGACTTCTGAAAGCATGTATGTATGTATGTATGTATGTATGTATGTATGTATGTATGTGTATTTAAAGATTCACGTGTATGTGCATGTATGTGTGAATAAATACATGTGACTGTATCCTTGGAGGACAACTTTCTTTTTTAGCTTTTGAGATTATAATTGTATCTTTTCTCCCTTCCCTTTCCTCCCTCCGAAGGGCCATCATTTCTTAAGTAGCCTGTTTCTATGCTCTTCTAGAGTCAAAAGCATCATAAATGAAGACATAATAACATTTACCCACTGAAGTGAAATTTAACTTCAGTTCTAGCAAAGAGACCATGTTTATTCTCACTATGCTCTGATTAAAAAATGTATTTTATAATATATTAGAGAAGGATTTTTTACTTTGCAAATAAAAACCTTAACTGTTCCACATCATACCACTGCTTAAATATTTTCTCTCTACTTCTACTACTCTCATGGCATATCTTAAAGGTCAAATATCATGTCCCAGTCTGTTTCAGGAAAGCAAGACATGTTCTACTAAATAAACACCATTAAAAAGCACGGAGCACTAACATTCCGTCCCAATTTCCTTATAAGCACAGCTTCTAAATAGTTAAGGATAAAAAGAAATAAAAAGCAGAGAGCCTAGAAAGGCACAAAAATTTACTTTCTAATCTAAAGTTTTATAGCAAAAACCCTTACTTCCTCCTGACTTCACACTCATTTTAGTTTTAATAGCTTCAAGAGTCCTTGTTCCCAACAGCAGTGTTTCTGTAATGGATCACTAATCACAACCTAGCTCTACCTAGCTCAAGTGAACAAAACTGAAGAGGAAAATTCAGAAGCTGGAAGCTAGCTCAGCAGGAGTTCAATCCTAGAGGCAACATGGTGCAGCTCTAACAAGCTGTTATCATCTCCACAGGAGTACCATGGTACATGCACACTAAACACAACTAATACAAATTCAAGCACACTAAACAAACAAATAAGTAAATAAATGTAATAAAATTTCTTTTAAGGTAAAGTTGAAAAAACAATATCTGAAAATAACAAACCTCTTTTGAAGAAGTTCTAATTCAGATAGAGAGACACACTCAGCTACCTATATCCCACACAAAGGTCTTGTCTGCAGGTCTGGTCTGGATTTGATTATTGTTATTTACTATTATTATTACTACTACCCTTTTTGAGACAAGGTCTTGCTATATGGACCAGGCTGGCCTCAGACTCACAGAGATCCAGATCCACCTGCCTCTGCCACCTAAGTGCTGGATTAAAGGCTTATGTGCCATCACACCCAGCTCTGAAGCTGACTGTTAATAATCATCTGGGAGACAATGATACATAATTGTTTTTAGAAAACACTATAATGCATACTGCGGAAATTAATAAAGCTACTAGAATTAAGTCTTAATACATTTAAAAGGACTGAAATAATATACAATATACTATTTAATCATGATGAAGAAAAACTAGAAAATTTAAAATATTCACATATATGGGGAAAATAAGCAATTTATTCCTAAGCAACGAAAAGTTCTAAAGAGAAATCATGGATCAGAAAATAATGTAGGATGAACCAAAAAAATGCAAACAAAACATACCAAGATTTACAGAATGTAACTAAATAGTGCTCAAGGGGAACTTTACAGCTGGAACTTTGATTTCCAAAAAATAAAGACCTGCTGGCCATGGTGGTGCACACCTGTAATTCCAGCACGAAGCAGGCAGAGGCACATGGATCTCTGTGAGTTCAAGGCCAGCCTGATCTACAAAGTGAGTCCAGAACAGCCAAGGCTACATGGAGAAACCCTGTCTAGAAAAAAACCCAAAAAACCTTAATTGTTCCACATCATGCCACTGCTTAAATATATATATATATATATATAAAGCCCTTATGTAAGGTGTGGTTAGCTCAGGTCTGGGATCCTAGCAGTAGAAAGGCTGAAGCACCAGGATGGGGTCCAAATTCAGTTTAGGGTACACAGCAAGTTTGAGATCAGTCTGAGCCTTATGAGACCCTTTCTAGAAAACATAAAAAAAAAAAATCAACGAAGTTCTCAACTGACCTAAGGTAACATAAAAAGAACAAGCAAGTTGGGTGTGGCGGTGTATCCCTCCAATGCCCAGCGCTTAGCTAGGTGAAAAAAACCACAAGCTCAAGGCTAGTGTGGGCTGTTTTAAGATTTTGTTTGATACATGTCTGCAATCCCAGCACCCTGGGAGGTAGAGGTAGGCGGATCTTTGTGAGTTGGAGGCTAGCCTGGTCTATAAAGTGAGTCCAGGACAGCCAAGGCTACATAGAGAAACCCTGTCTCAGGGGGAAAAAAAGTTTCAAACGACTATGAAACAGGCTGAGCCTGGTGGGTAAGCTGTAAATTCTAGGCCAGCCAGGGCTGCAAAATTAGGCTGTCTCTAAAGCAAACAGGAAACAACAAAACAGTTTAAGTTAGGAAGGGCTCAGGTTCAGCACTAGTACTACTGTTTTCAGAAACAACACTGGGAAAATATAATCCACACTCTCAGGAATTAAGATGGCTTAAAAAAAACACAACAAACAAAACAAAAAACAAAAACAAAAACAAAACTATACCTGACTGATTATGGGGAAAATCTAAATACCTGTACAACAGGTGACTGAATTAAGAATTTTAATAGCTAACTAGAGATAAGCCAGGTTAGATGGCTTTAATAGATGCCATCTGTTAAGAAAGAATTCATATCAAGCCCTTATAAACTCTTCTTAAAATACAAAAACAAGGAGGGACTATTTACCAACTTATTCTGTGAAGTTATGAATTGTCCTCATACCAAAACTGGATAAAAATAGTCTAAGGAAAGCATAGAGCAATACCTCTGATGAATATAGACAGACAGATCAATAAATATTAGCAAGCCAAATCTAGTAACATAAAAGTGTAAATCATATACAACTGAGGGTGATAGAGCCCGGAAAACTGCTCGCCTACAGACCCACCTCTTTCCTCTGACAGTCTCAGTCTGAGTAGCACACTGATTCCTACCCTATTCTACTTCCGCAAGCAGCTTCATTTGTCAATTCTGTCTGGTGTTTCTTTGTTCCCTACTATCCTCCCAATGCCTGTGAAAAACTTGACATCTGGCAAGGTCTTCAACAAATATCTGTTTAAGTAATGACTATAGCTATATAAACTGCACAACTATATAAATCATCTCAGTTCTTACGTTGCAAGGCATGACTTACCCAAGATCTTCAGGTTTTGTTGTGCTTGCTGACAGAAGAGAAAAGATAACATCTTATTAGTCCACCCTGAATGACAAATTGCTGCATTATTCAAAGAAAAACCTAGACTAGCTGCTCTGTAAAAACATACTTCCCAAACACACGCTTTGCTGCAGGTCAGACCAGTAAGGCCAACAACAGCAATCAGTGATGCTGAACAGCACCTATTCTCTTATGATTTTATTTTTATGTGGGCCTGAGTGCATGTGTGGGTATGTGCACATGAGTGTGGGTGCTCCTGGAGCTCAGAAGAAAGCATCCGATTCCTTGGAGCTGGAGTTATAGGCACCTGCCAGTTCTTGATGTGGGTGCTGGAAACAAATTCAGGTCTTCTGCAAGAGAAGTATGCTCTCTGAACTGCTGAGCCATCTCCTCAGCCCCCTACCCAATTTTTAAAGATTTATTTTATTTAAAAATGTGTGTATGTGTGTGCACAAGCGCACGGATAATTTGTGAAGTCTGTTTTCTTTCACTTTGTAGGTCCCAGGGATTGACTTAGGTCATCAAACTTGGCAGCACAGTGCCTTTATCCACTAAGCCATCTCACCAGCCTAACATGGAAACATTTTTACTGAAAAGTTCTTTGGGGCTAGAGAGGTGGCTCAGTGTTTAAGAGTACTTGCTGCTCTTTCAGAGGACCTAGTTCAAGTCTCTGTACCCAAACCAGGCAGCAGCCTCTAACTCCAGGTCAGGGCACTGGCCTTCACAGGGTGCATAAAACATCACACATATGCATATGCATGAACCCTTGAGCATGCAAGCACATATATACACAAATAAAAAAATTGTTTAAGATGTATTCATTACATGATATTAAAAATATTCAATGGGTTGAAGAGGCATTTCATCATGGGATTTGAAAGACAAGAGAGAAAATACTGCTCCAGTGTATACACACAAAAAACTAAGTGTGAACAAAAACACCGACCAGAATGCCATGTGGACTGAGGTTACTATTAAGTTCATTCTCAGGGGCCAATATAATGTAGTTATAAAACTCATACAAGGATAGATTTAGTCAACTAAAATAGACTTGACAAGTCAGACAGCTTCCTCTCCAGCACACAGGAAGTACCAGGACATGAAGGAAAAGGAAGGACAAGCCACTGGAGCAGAACGGCACATCACCTTTCATCTGTAGGGTCCGTCGGGAGTACCGCTTGCTGGGCCTCCTTTCAAAGGAAGTCGATCTTCTTGCTTTATTAGTTTTTGTGGTCTGATACTCTGTTTTTCCACTAAAATAAATCAGGCAAGTCAACAGTAAGACAATGTGAGGCAACCAACAGGAGTAAGATGTCTGCATTCAGATTATCCTGCAGTTTTTTTCCTCTTCATCCAAATTTTTTATTTATTCTCTAGGCTTAGGTAAAATACGTACATTAAAAATATAGGATTTCTCCTAAGCACATATATAGACATATTAAACCAGCAGAAAGTGCCCATGCTATCAGGGAAGCACCCTTTCCTTTTCTATCCACATGAATCAATGCAAAACGTGTAATTCAAAATAAGATCTCTAGTTCTTTTGTGGTCCTGCGGATTCAGTTTCAGGCCTTATACATGCCTGGCAGGAACTCTACCAATGTCTTCAGCCCCAACTACAGTTACTTTTTCTGTGATTACTTCCACAAAAATTTCTAGAAATACTTTAAAAACTACTATTGTACTTCTTTGGTCTTAAGCTAAGAAAACCCTTCAGCATTTCTGATGAGGGTAGAAGAGACACCATCTTAAGACTTCTCTAAGGCTGACTCGCTGCTTTACTGGCATTACCATCTCTTCTCCATCTGATTCCAATGGTATGCTGAAGATTCAAACTGACCAGCTACTCAAATGTAACATGAACTGAGTATTTCAAACTCATGCTAGTAAAAGCACCCAGTCTTCAGGTTTCCAGAGAGTCATAGTACTATTCGTACTACAACCTCATACATTTTCTGTATGAGTGCAACTTGTTAGATGGAGACTCTACCTTGTTACACACATTTAAATTGCGGCTTGATTAGAATATATAAATGTGTTATAAATAGCAATAATATAGCTGATTCCCCATATACATTACTTCTTTAAAAATTTTGGCCAATGGATATCTTTGGCAACATATTTTATTTCTGCTTGGTATCTGCTCAGTAAAATCAGTTTGACTAACTTTTCTGGCCTGTTTGCAAGAGTGAATGATGTCAAAACTTAGAGAAATTAACCTATATCTAAATCGTGATCCTAGTCGAATGAATCCTGATCGATGAGAACTCTTTTGGACAGGTCCTCGGAGGCGGAAGAAGGCATGGTGCTCCACAGCACATTTCCACAAGTGTTTGCAGGCTTTAGGATGATCCAGCCTAAAGACAAAGGTATGCTCTTGTTCTTTGCCCTGAAAAAGACAAAGCGATGTTTGTAAGTCAAACAGCAATGTCTTCTGCTGCTGCAATACAAATACATCCATACCAGTGACAAAAGGCAGCCAAGCATGTGGTTGGTGCATGCCTATAATCCCAGAAACTAGAATGCCACCAGGTCAAGGACAGTACGTCATACAAAGTAAATGCCAGTCCAGCTGGCCAGAAAAGTAAGTAATAAAGATGTTGGAGGATTGGCTCAGAGGGTTAAATGTAGGCACCACTCTTTGAGGACACATGTTTGGTTCCCAGCACCCATGCCAGACAGCTCATAATAGCCTGTAACTACAGCTCTACATCTGAGGGTCTCTAAGGTCATCTTCACTAAAAGCCCCCCCCATGATTAAAAATAAAATAAACCTTAAAAAATAACAAACTTTTTTCTCTGAAAGTTTTTGGGGGATGGGTGAGTATGATGCTGGCCACCTTGTCTTGTCAAATATGTGAGCTCCAGGTTCAGGAGAGACTCTGTTGCAAAAGGTCAGGGCGGGGAGCAATCGACACCCACTATCTGGCCCCCATGAACATGTACAGATGGGCACCTATATGCAATTCCATATGGACAAGTACATATAACACATATGAAAAGCCCAGAAGCCAAAACAAACAAACAAACAAACAAACAAACAAACAAAAACATGTGCTAAGTCACCAGTGTGCATGCTTTTAGTCCCAGGACTTGGGAGGCAGAAGCAGGTAGAATTCTATGTAAGAGGCCAGCCTGGTCTACAGACTGAGTTCCAGGACAGCCAGAGCTGTCAAAGAGAAACCCTATCACCAAAAACTAAAAACCAAAAAGTATATGCTTTTTAGTACATGATAAAGGCCAGGTGTTGAGTTCCATGAATACAGCACCCAGCACCCAGAAGATAGGGAGAAAGATCCCCACAAGAGGCCGGCCTGAGATACTTATTGAGTTCCGAGGCATCCAAGACTACAGTGTGAGACCTTGTCTCAAAACTAAAACCCCAAAAGTCAAAACAAAACAAAAAAAACCCACAATGAGACAAAAAACAAGGGTTATCATTAAATTATGACCACATATTCCTAAATACATGATTATATATTCTTTTTTGTAAAGGGCTGTTCACATCTGTGGTGGTGTGAATAAGAATGGCCTCCACACACTCATGTATATGCTTGACCCACAGGGAGTGGCACTATTAGGAGCTGTGTTTTTGCTCGAGTAGGTATGGGCTTGTTGGAGGGTGTGTGTCACTGTGGGGCAGGCTTTAAGGTCTTATCAGTTTAAATCTGACCAGGGTGACAGTCTCCTGCTGCCTAAGGATCAGGATGTAGATCTCTCAGCTACCTTTCCAGCACTATGTAGCCTGCATACAGCCATGTCTCCCACCGTGATGATAGTGGACTAAACTTCTGAAACTGTAAGCCAGCTCCAATGAAATGCTTTCCTTTATAACAACTGCCATGCTCCTATCTCTTCACAGCAATAAAACAGTAACTAGAAAACATCTTTCTTATACAAACAACTATTTCCACAGTCAGGACCTGCCCCTTGAGGCCACTGAGATGGCTCGTTAGCTAAGGGCACTGACAGCTTTTCCAGATGACCTGCGTTTACTTCCCAGCACCGGTATGGTGGTTCAGTAACAGCACAACTTCACTTCCAGGAGACCTGACCTCCTGACCCCCAGGTCCCTTCTGGTTTCCACAGGCACCAGGATTGCATGTGGTACATGGACATATATTCAGACAAAATACCCATACACATAAAGTAAAGTAATTCTTAAAAAAGCTCTTTTAGCTATAGCTGAGTATGGTGGCATATGCTTATAATGCCAGCATTCAGAAGACCGAGGCAAATGGGGAGTTCAAGAATACTAGAAGAAAGCATTGACAGTGACCTACAAGATACAGGTGTAGGAAAGTATTTTGAACCAGATCCCATTGCTGAGTAAGTTAAGCCAACAACTGCCAAGTTAAAACTAAAAAGCTTCTCTATATCAAAGAAAATAACCAATTGTGAAGATGAAGCTCAAAAAGTGGGAGATGACCTTTTCCACTATATACCTGAAACTAGTACCCAGAATATATAACGAACTCAAAAAAGAGTAAAAAACAAGGAACCCAGTTTAAAAAGTAGCCTAAAAATCTCAATAGAGTTCTGAAACATACATGGAGGTCAGAGATCAACCTGAGTTGGTTTTTGTTTTCTATCATGTATGTCCCAAGGATCAAACTCAGGTCATTAGGCTTGTGAGCAAGTAAGAAAAAGAAATCTTAAAGATCAAACTTCACTAAGATAAAAACGTACCTCTGTAAACTTCTAGGAACCAAGCAAAATACAAATCTAAAAGACCATTAAAAACAGGAAAAGAAAAAAAAAAAACAAAACAGAAGTTGGCAGCTCAGTAGCTAAGTGGGTTTCCCTAGTAAGGGGAACAGGGACTGTCTCTGGCATGAACTCTGTGGCTAGCTCTTTGAGCCCCAACCCCCATGGGAGGAACAGTCTAGCTAGGCCACAGAGGAGGACATTGCAGCCAGTCCTGAAGAGACCTAATAAGCTAATGTCAGATGGAAGGGGAGGAGGACCTCCCCTATCAGTGGACTTAGAGAGGGGCAAGGAGGAGATGAGGGAGGGAAGGTGGGATTGGGAGGGAATGAGGAAACAATGTAAATAAACTGTAATTAATATAAAAAATAAAAAAACAACTTGGAACACCTGTGTAAAATACTATCAAACAAAAAATTAAAAAAAAATGGAGGAAGGGAAAAGGGGAGAACTAGCAGGGAGGCAGTGTGGGGTAGATGAAACACACTGTATGCAGATACGAAATTCTCAAATACAAAATTTATTTTAAAAACCCAAATATGAATATAAAACTACTACTACAATCATTCAACTACTATATTATAAAGTTCTTTCATGTTGATTCTATACTTTTCTTGGTTACGTATCATTTTAGTTCATGAAAATGTATAATGAGCACACATGTCTAGCTATCTTTGCAGACTTGCCAATATCATGTATTCCTATGCTAATATTATTAAAATAACTTCTCCACTGGACCATCCCACTACACTCAAAATCTCCTGAGAATATGAATGTTTCTTATTCGTTCAGTGAAGTAAAAGCATCACACTGTATCAGCCACAAAGATTGTTTTTAATAAATGAACATGTTGAGTTGTAATAAAAAAAGATCAACGTGTACTAACTGAATAGCAGTGCTTCCCATTAGCCAACGTTATGATAAACTGTCATTTCATTTACCTTACTGATATAAAACACTCAGAGATGTCCTTACAAAAGTGATCTGTCTAATGTTTAAAAAAAAGTAAAGCCTAAGAGCCTTCACCTTCAGCTATAGTGTTATTCTTTTGGCTACTTATTATATTCAACCAGGTCCTCATATATCCTTAACAACTACATGGAAAAGGAGACTACTACAACAATACAATATGCTACTTACCTCATCTGTAACGATTAGAAAAATTCAAAGTTAAAACACGAAGATTCTATAAAATCTAATATCTGCAAAACTTTAGAAAATTGATACAACTTAACTCTAGCCTGTTATTTATCATTTCTTACAGAAGTACAACCAAAAAGTCAATTATAAGCTGAATGGGAACATGAAATAATGCCTGAATATGATAAAAGCTAAGAAAAATACATAAAATAATTTTGAAATGACAGTATACTGAAATTATAGAAGAAAATTTACAAAATAAAAAAAAAAACCCAAAAACAAAAACAAAACAAATCACATTTTATTGTAAAGAATACCACCAGATAGATCTTTTTTATTTGTTTCTTTGAGCCAGGGTCGCACTGGCCAGCATTAGCTGGCCTGGAACTGTGTAGACCAGGCTGGCCTAGAGCTCAGAGACCCACCTGTGAGAAAGGAGGCCTAGAGCCACCTAAATGGAACCTTTGTACACGACAGATACATGATCAACAATGAGACAATAAATGATAAACATCTATATAGCTTTATGTTTAAAGTGCATTTTTAGGATGGTATGGCCTGAATGAGGAATTTACAGATAATCAATGCTAAGTTTTGTTCTATGGCTCTCCAGAACAATGAGATCCAGTCCCCTTGTTACCATACAATTACTGTGAAACAAGTAATACAGTACAGTTCCTACCTGATCATCATCTTCCACAACCACTAGAGTTAATTTATTCTTCTTAAAATCCAATCTGGTTATCTTAGGCCTGTAACAATGAGATCAACAGGCAGATTAGGGCAAAAATCCTTTTCTCTACCAAGCATGGTTCCTCATCCTAACTCTCAACACTAGGAAGAAGGTAGAGACAGCTAGCACTGCCTGTCAAAGTCTCTACAGGGAGGCAGACACACACTTCAAAAGCAACCAGCTGACAAATCCATCAGCCCATGTACCAGACATTAAAGACAGGAAGAAAGTAAGAAATATATCACACTCCTAATATGGCACAATACATTTTGCAAGCCTACATAAAAATGTTTCAGGATTAAACAGCATAGGAATTAAATATAACAAAAGCCATTAAGTGTTTTTGAAGGGCATAAAACAAAGTATCAAAGTCATGATCTTCAACTCTATTTCTACCAGCAACACCTGAATGTGAATCTGAGTTTGGGTGGAAAGGCTTAAAGCCAACAGTCTTGGTATGTTACAGAGCCATCTTTAGCTCTAGTATGTAACATATACATAAACTCTGTATTAGTTCTAACAAAAATGTAATAATGTAAACAATCTCCCAATTCTATGCTTTACAGCTATGAAATCCGTGCAACATCTCTAAGTATGGAAGACTGCGATTAAGACACAGGAAGGGCCAAGCTTGAAAGTAGGAATAGCACTACCATCTCCCTCCCTTTCTCTGAGTCTATGGCAAACACTAGGATGATAGAACCACAGAGGGCTCACTGTGTAAAGAACATGTCATAAGTACACAAGCAGGAGCTAAGAATACAAAGACATGCACTGACACACTTTGACACCGATGGGATGCAGACTTGCAGTACTTAGAGTCTGTGTCTGGGGAGAGATTACAGATAAGTTACAGAAGAATGGGAAACAATAACTTTTCACTTCCAAAATTCTCATGATTCTATTTCCAACCCCTTTTATTCATTACTGATATAAATGTTTTAACTTATTAAAAACAAGACAAGAGTACCTCTAACATTAACACTGCTCACCAGAAAAACAAGCCGATTTTGGTTTCTCCTTCAAAAACAAGGACTCCTGTTGGAGTTAGTCCCAAGCTATAGTCATTGCCATCTCTAGCCTAATTTAAGGAGAAAAAGTAAAATTCACTGTGTTTGTATACAAGAAACTGGTTTCATACTAGTTCTTCTTTCACAATAAATATTATACACAGGCTAATATTTATTCTAGATGTTTTCAGCAAATAATCCTCTTCAAGTTATAAAGTGTTAACCTTGTTTTCTGAACTATGTTTTAGCAAAGTCTCGTCAATATTAAGCTTTGGTTATATAAAAGCGCATCTGATTCCAGTCTTTCAATATCTAATTTCAACTGCTTTTTCCCTACTACACATCACAAATACTCAGAAGTATTCTATAAACTCTATGCATTCCCTCATATTATAAAATTCATAGTTCCCTTAAAAACCACAAAGAAATGGATTTTTAAAAAAGGATTTATTTTTATTATTTTAAAATTATATGTATATACACATTGAGTACACGTGCCTACAGAGTCCAGAAGAGGAGGGTGTCAGATTCCCTGGAGCTGGAGTTACAGGAATTTATATGCAGCTCAACACAGGTGCTGATAACTGAACTCAGGACTTCAACAAGAACAGTACATGCTCATACCTGCTAAGCCATCTCCTTAGCCACAGAAATATTTTTTTTTTTTAAAACAACTATCACAACACAGGGCTTACCTTGACCACATGCATATCAACCCCATACATTTCTAGCCATTTGGCTTTATTCAGATAATTGGTTTCAGCTTGTGCTGGTGTCTGACCTCTGAAAATTTAAGTATAGTAATTATAAGATAATGAGCATAAAGAGTTTTTAAAGCAAACAATAGAAATAAAAGAAAATAAATATAAAATAACAACTGTTGTAATGTTTAAAAAGTGTGATCAAATGATGAGCTACCTGTATTCCTTCCATTTCTCAAAAATAGCCAATTCCATCTCTTCAGTCTGAATGGGCACAAACCTGAACTCAGATACAAGTTCAGGACTATGTTCAGCAAGATCATAGTCACCAAGTTCAGCTACAAAACAAGTGAATAGAGTTATGACATGTTAATAATACTAAGAAAATATAAAAAAAAAAACACATTTTGTAAACAAAGATTTAAGATGTTTATTCTTTTTTAAGCCATTCACAATGCCTAGACCATTCCCCCCTAATAAATCTAGTTTAGATCTAGGATTTGGTCTGTTACACATATGCAGTAGTTTCAATGAGAATAGCCCCATAGGCTCATATATCTTACATGCTTGGTCCAAAGTTGGTGGAACTGTTTGGGAAAGATTAGGAGGTGTCTGTGTTGAAGGAAGAGGTTAATGAGGCTAGGCTTTGAGGTATAAAATTCCCATCCCATCCCCAGCAAGCCCTGTCTCTGCCTCATACTCGTGGATCAGATGTGAGCTCTCAGCTCTACTCCAGTGCCATGCTTGCCTACCTACCGCCAGGCTCCCTGCCATGATGCTCAGAGACTAATCTTTTTTAACTCTGAGTGCCAAATTAAATGCTTTCTTTTATAAGTTGCCTTGGTATGGTACTTTGTCATGGCAATAGAATACTAAGACAATATAAATCACATTTGTTGTTGGTGGTGTATTTTTAATTAGACCTTTCTTCTAATTTATTCACATATTAATGCTTAGCGTTTGAAAACACATTTCTGTGTTTCCATAGAGAAAAAAAATCTTTGACCTTAGTTCTTAAAAGACAATCACTTGCTTTCTATTAAAAAAAAAAAACACCTAAGATAGACAATAATAGCATACTAGAAGATTACAAGATTACTTGTCTGTGATGTTAAATTAATACTAAATTAATATAAAATAATTGAGAAAAAACATGGAGAAATTATTTTGCCATAATAATAATGGTAACCACTATTTGGCGTTTCTATTCTAGACTCGTGCTTTGAGCATTAGTGAGTCAAATGTGTTAAAATACACAAAACATTTTCATAAATCCTATTTGTGTGTGTGTGTGTGTATGGGGGGGGCATGGCATAGTGTGTTGTGTGTGAGGTGAGTTGAGGGCACACACCTATGTCTGCTCATGAAGAGGCCAGAACAGGATGTCAGGTGGCTCCTTTATTGCTTTCTGACTTATAACCTTAAATACAGGTGAGTCACAATTTTGGATGGCCATTAAGTTCTTGTATCTCCCTGTCTCAGCTCTAAAATTCTAGAACAGTTTGCCAGATTTTTATATGGATACCATGTATTGGTATCTTTATACTATATTTCAAGAACCCTCACTGTCTTTTTTTCATTTAAATTTTTATTTTTTATATTAATTACAATTTATTCACTTTGTATCCCAGCTGTGCCCCATCCCTCATTCCCTCCCAACCTCACCCTCCCTCCCTCATCTCCTCCCATCCCCCTCTCCAAGTTCACTGAGAGGGGAGGTCCTCTCCCCTTCCATCTGACCCTAGCCTATCAAGTCTCATTCAGGACTGTCTGCATTGTCTTCCACTGTGGCCTGGTAAGGCTGCGCCCCAACCCTCCCCGTGCCAGGGGGAGGTAATCAAAGAGCCAGGCACTGAGTTCATGTCAGAGACAGTCCTTGTTTCTCTTACTGGGAAACCCACGTAGATACTGAGTTGCCATGAGCTACATCTGTGCAGGGGTTCTAGGTTATCTCCATGCATGGTCTTTGGTTGGAGTATCAGTCTCAGAAAAGACCCTGTGGCCCAGATTTCTTGGTTCTGTTACTTTTCTTGTGGAGCTCCTGTCCCCTCCAGGTCTTTCTATATCTCCCTTCTTTCATAAGATTCCCTGCACTCTGCCCAAACCATACAATGGAAAAAAGGCAGTATCTTCAACAAATGGTGCTGGTCTAACTGGATGTCTACATGTAGAAAAATACAAATAGATTCACATTTATCACCCTGTACAAAATAAAGTCCAAGTGGATCAAAGACCTCATCATAAAACCAGACACACTAAATCTATTAGAAGAAAAAGTGGGGAACTCATTGGCACAGGAGACAATTTACTGAACAGAACACCAACAGCACAGGCTCTTAGATCAACAATCAATAAATGAGAACTCATGAAACTGAAAAGCTTCTGAAAATGCAAAAAATACTGTCATCAGAACAAAACAACAGCCTACAGACTGGGAAAGGATCTTCAAAACCCTATATCTGACAGAGGGCTAATATCCAGACTATACAAAGAACTAAAGAAGTCAAAAAGCAACAAATCAAGTAATCCAATTAAAAAATGGGGTACAGAGCTAAACAGAGAATTCTCTATAGAGGAATATCAAATGGCAGAGACACACTTAAAGAAATGTTCAATGTCCTTAGTCATCAGGGAAATGCAAATCAAAACAACCCTGAGATTTCACCTTATACCCATCAAAATGGCTAAGATCAAAAACTCAAGTGACAGGACATGCTGGAGAGGATGTGGAGAACAGGGAATCCTCCTCCATTGCTGGTGGGAATGTAAACTTGTACAACTACTTTGGAAATCAATCTGGCGCTTTCTCAGATAATTGGGAATAATGCTATCTCAAGATCCAGCTATACCACTTCTAGGCATACATCCAAAATATGCTCGAGTACACAACAAGGACATTTGCTCAACCATGTTCATAGCAGCTTTATTCGTAATAGCCAGAACCTGGAAACAACCCAGATGTTCTTCAGCTGAGGAATGGATATAGAAATTGTGGTACATTTACACAATGGAATACTACTCAGCAATTAAAAACAAGGAAATCATGAAATCTGCAGGCAAATGGTGGGATCTAGAAAAGATCATCCTGAGTGAGGTATCCCAGAAGCAGAAAAACACACATGGTATAAACTCACTTATAAGTGGATATTAGCCATATAATTAACATAGGATACTCATACTAAAATCTGTACACCTAAAGAAGCTAAGCAAGAAGGAGGACCCCAGGTAAGACGATCAACCCTCACTCAGAAAGGCAAATAGGACAGATATTGGAAGAGGGAAAAAACAGGGAACAGGACAGGAGCCTATTAAAGAGGGCCTCTGAAAGACTCTACCCAGCAGGGAATCAAAGCAGATGCTGAGCCTCACTTACTTTCTACCAGTGCCATGTAAACCCTATTTTTAAGCACATACTTTGGCTGTCATGGGGTACAAACAGAATGCAGATAGTATTTTCAAATTAATGTTCCCCCCTCATTACACAGATAGAAAACATGTTTTAATCTGGAGACAGATAACAATAGTGAAAAAAAAAATCACATAGATAAAAATTCTCATCACCAGGAAAATATGCTTTAATAATGAATATCAAAAATAAGCAGAAAATTAGGTTTACCATAAAACATGCAAATGTAGTTTTATTATCTACACAGTGAGAAACAGTTATGATCTTAGAATGATGGGGATATATGTACAACCAGTAGAAAGGCAAAAATCTAAAGTCTTGAGCATCATTAAATATAACTTTAGTTATAATACATATATGTATATATACAACACACACACACATACACACATACACACACACACACACACACACACACACACACACACACACACACACACACACAGTATATAAGTTCCAGAAAAATGCTTCCTTTCAATGGATGAACAAGGACTCAAATCATAGTTTTCCTTTAAAATGTCAACTTTTATGAGAAAATCCTTAATTGTAGCAATAAGCAATTTAAACATTTTAAGTTTTTGATTTACTAAAAAGTACTTCAAAGTGCCCAGCAGGGACTTTTAAATATGTACTGGCCTGATCTGGTCTAAGTATGCTCTGACTCTTCATTATGTACTGGCTTGATGTGGTTTAAGCATGCTCTGATTCTTCACTGACTCATTTTTAAGACGATGACCTAAGAAAGCAAGCCATGCAACAACTATGATAACTCACTTTTATGCTAACTGCACTCTCTTTATGGAAAAGAAATCCGTTTTGGGTCGAATGTTAACACTTACTTAATTATCAGGTAGGCTGCAAACTGTTCTAAAATACTACAGAGGCAAAAAGAGCGAAGGCTCATCAGTTAAGAGCAATGATGCTCTCCCACAGGACCTGGGCTTAATTCTCTGCACCTGAGTGGCAGCTCACACCTGTCTGTAACTCTAGTTCCAGGGAATCAATGCCCTCTTCTGCTCTCCAGGGACACCAGGCACAAACATGGTGTACAAAGTTGCAGGCAAAATATCTATACATGCAAAGTAAAATAATTTTTTAAAAAAGAAAAAGAGCAAAGAAAGAGAGGAAAAGATATGAAGACAATAACTTTTTGAAGAGGCATTTTAACATCAAGCAGAAGTCAAGAGTTGGACACTGGTACAGTTTTATAAAGAAACCAATCTTCTCTAGCCTGTCATCTGATTTTTTTTTTTTAATTCCATAAACATGCATCACACAAAAGAATTATGCTTCAGCTTTAACAATCAAGCACAAAAATCACTTACCTTGCAGATTATAAGCTGCCAACTGAACTGCTGTTTCAAAGGGACACTCTAATCTGGGATCAAAATACAAATTTACTAAGTCAATTCATCATCTTTTAAGATGAATAACAACAACATACATATTGCAGCCTGAGCATTTTATACAACTCTGAACTTATTTGTGTTCATTTGTGTGCAAGTACACTTGACTGTGTGTGTGAATGTGGAGGCCCAAGGGCCATATCCAGAATCTTCCTTAGTTACTCTCCACCGTACTATTTTGCACACTATTTCTTACTGACCCTGGAGTTCACTGTTTTGCTCCAGTGCTTGCCAGTGAGCCCCTAGCCCTGTTGCCACAGATGCTCCCACTGCTCCTGGGTCCCACAGGTGCTGGTGATGCAAATTCAGGTCCTGTACTTGTTGAGCCATCAGCTCGTCAGCCCTGCACTGAACCTATTTTTTAAATTATTTTTTCTGTTACCCAAGAATTTTGCAGTTATGTACTAAATAACTTAATACTCACTTCCCACTGAGAATATCTTGTTTTAACTGAAGAACAAATAAATACCTAAGAAAAATAAAACACACAAATTAACTAAATAAAACAATTCACTACAGAAAAAAAGATCTTACCATTTTAGCTTAAGAACACTCTTCTTTTTTGTGAGAAAGGATTTCAGTATATAGCCCTGGATACCTAGCAACTCAGAGATCCTCTTGACTCTGCCCCCAAAGTGCTGGGATTAAAGGTGCACACAACCACACCCTGAGAGAACACTCTCCCCCCCCCCCTTTTTCTTTTTTTCCAAGACAGGGTCTCTCTATGTAGCCCCAGCTGTCTTGGTACTTGCTCTATAGACTAGCCTAGCTTCAAACTCTGAGACCTATCTGCCTCTGCCTCTTGACAGCTGGGATTAAAGGTGTGTGCCAACATTGTCTGTCTGAGAGAACATTCTTGAATAAAGAATTTCAATGCAAAAAAAAAAAATGTGTAAGGGAAAAATAATACAGACAAAAGGGATACTGAAAGGAGAAAGAAAGGAAGCATGCCTGAAGATTAAGAGAAGAACAGGCCTGAGAGTAGAACAGAGCAGAGGAACCTTCAGAGAAAGTATCGGAAGCATGTTGTGTAAATGAGCCCTGTGATCCAACTTGACCTTCTACATGAGGGGTGTAAGGCTAACAGCAGCAACCTCACGGCCAGAGAACTCCTTCCAAAGATACCCATCAGCTCAGCTTCTTCACTTAGTGAACACTGAATTCATTAGCAACCCTGCTTCCTCACCAAAAAGCAATGCATATGCAATAAGGAGGAAGGGTAAAATGAAGAATGGATACACCCTAAAGCTGTATTCAAATTACTCAACTCAGGATCTAAAACTGTCATGAATCAAAGGCATTTTAAGAAGTAAAGAAGTCTTGAGCCAACCTACATGAAATCAGTAGCAAAAAACAGATTATGGTGAATGTCAATAAGCATAAGATTGTAATTTATTAAGATATTATCAGTTCTATTTAAAATCCATGAACTGAGTCACTAGTCACCCCTACTGGATACATGAAAATCAACAAGTGAAGAATCTTATACTTTCAGTTATTTTTAATATTTTAAGACAAAGTCTCATACTGTAGATTGGGCTAGCCTGAAATTCACTTTGGGGTCCAAACTAGCCTTGAACTCAAAGTAATCCTCCTGCCTTAGTTTCCGAGTGCTGGGATTACAGGCTATTTTACTTGGCTAGAATATGACATCTTAAACATCCTGTTCTAGAATAAAAACTTATCTGAGACCTTACTGCTGGGCTTGAGGAACCCTAAAAGCGGTCTTCTAGAAGTCCCAGCGCCTCTGACACGATCCTTAATAGTGAGTGGTCTTACCGGGTTAGCTCCTCACGAAGATTATTTGGTTCCGAGGAATAAAACTTAACCCGAAGATGAAGACAATAGGGTGAACCAACTGCCATTAAAAAAGAAAAGAGCTTTAATTTAATTGATTTACTAATAATTTTCAGTATAAAAGAAGAGGACAGACTATTGTGTCATTACTTAAAAATAGAATATAGGCTGAGATTTAACAAGAAGAGTTTTACAGTTTACCAAGCATGACACAGCAGTACTATATTCATCTGTCACATATTAAGTACAACAGTGCAGGGTCAAATGCATAATCTTAGTGGTGCAATCAAACAGCCTGGAAAACCTGCTGAGCTGTTCATCTAGAGAACACCAAGGACCACCAACATGAGTAACTGCTCAAGGCCAAGCATCCCACACTTTCAAATTCAGTCCAGTGGATTCTAACTGCTATATTATTTTATATTTTAATATAAAATATTTTATAAAGACAGCAATTAAGCTGTCCTGAAATATGACCCTAGATTGACAAGCCAGACTGTGGGCAAATAAACACTGGTATTTTCCCAAGTTCTGCCAAGTTAATAATACTCCATTTTATGTGAATTACCTCATGTCATTATTTCTAACACGTTATTTTTTAATTGTGTGTGTGTGCTTGTGCGGTTAATTACTTGTGCTCGCATTCCCTTGAGTTGAAGTTACAAGAAGCTGTGAAGAGGATGCTGGTGTGAGGAATTCAAGGTGGGTCTTCTACAAGACCATTATGTACTCTTAACTGCTGAGCACTACAGCACCGTTTCATTCCTCCTCTTTTAAAAGAAGTATATATAGATAAGGACTAGAGACAGCTCAATGGTTAAGAGTAGTTGCTGCTCTTGCAAAGAAGCTGGCTTTGATTCCCAGTACCACGTGGGAATCTTTAACTCCAGTTCCTGGAGATCCAATGCTCTTTCCTGACCTTCCAGGTCACTAGGCATACATATGGGCCATACATATACATGCAAGCAGAACACTCATATACCTGAAATAAATAAACTTAAAAAAAAAAAAAAAAAACTTTAGAGAAGAATGACATGTCTCTGGTGCTTACCACAGGCTACGTGAGGTGACTACTGAAACAGGAGACAGAGCAAATTTACCATGTATTTCTTAACAAAGTCTACTGTGCCTAGTCTGTATCATGAATCCCCAGAAAGACAAAGGGAGAAACTTATTACAGCATTAAGGTCTAAAAATGTTTTCTAGAGTCAGGTAGCATCCCCCAAATCAACCAACCAACCACAACAAAAGGCCAAGGAAACTTCAACACAGCTGGGCAGTAGTGGTGCACTCCTTTAATACCAGTACTCAGAGGCAGAGACAGGCGGATCTGTGTTCAAGGCTAGCCTGGTCTACAGAGTGCCAGAACAGGCAGGGCTACACGGAGATAACCTGTCTCGGGGAAAACAACAACAACAAAACCCCCCAAAACCAACCAACCAACCCACCCACCCTGAAAAACTTCAACGCAAGTAATTACTTAAAAGTCAAATATTTTAAGAAGTCAATCCAATTTGTAAGCTGCAAATATTTCTTCTATATACTCAAATTATAAGACTCTTGAGTCTAGATTAATGTTAAACCTATATAAACCAGGCACTGAGTTGGTATATTACAAAACAAAGTTTAGAAGGTAGATGTGTTAGCCAGGCACAGTAGAACACATCAAAAATCCTAGCAGCACTTAGGAGTCCTCGGAAGGCTTTTGAGCATGAGTCCAGCCTAGGCTACACCTTGAGTCTCTTGACTGAGACTCACCTATCATGCTAGAGCAGTTGGTAAGGAAACTCACAGGAAACATGATTTTTAATGTCCTTATTATTAAGAAATCAGTGTTTTTGATATGTCTTATTTGGACTATTTTCACAAATGATTTCCCAACACTTACTTTTTACTTGCTTTTTGATGCTTTTTGTACCATCCAACCAATGCTGTAAACAGAAAAATAAAGTTGAGTACTTATGCAAACGGTAGAACTTTCATGTTTAACAAGACTTACTGCTTTGTTGACAACCACAATGCAATATTTTACAAAGGAAAAAGCAAGGGGACGGAATTTGAAAGAGTGGCTCTTACAGCTTAAACTATAACCTTAATTTTCCCCAGTTCCCAAAGAAATGGCTCTCTTAAGAATGTGAGAGAGAAAAGGGCTGGAGATATAGCTCAGCTATAGAGAGCTTTCCAGTATTTCTATAAATATATACACGAACAGATGAAAATTAGAAGTATCAAGGCCTGGCCATTCCTTTATAAGATTCACTGGCAAAATTTAACAAGGAGGAGAGAATATCACCCAAAAATTGCAAAACAGTGGCTATTCACTACTCACTCAAAGAGCCTAAAGGTTTTAAAAAGTGAGATTTTTCTCAAATTATGAAATTATCAAATGAAGCAGTCACTGTTCTCCTATTTTACAAATAAAAATGTTTACACCTGACAGTTCTGTTTTCAACAGTAACAACTTTTTAATTTCTATAGCCTCTTCACTGGGAAATGCTTGTAACACAAAAGCCTGAAATGGTTCCAGATGCTCACACTGACAAAGCATTCCCAGCTCAGCTTGCCTTACAAACCCATCAGCCCCTCTCAGCGACAGGCTGCACTGGTTCAACCACAATACACATGGGTGAGCTCACGTCAGCATGCTTTCAATCCCAAGCACCAAAAGAAGGGAGGGTTCTGTGTTAACTAGTCCACAGAGCCAAAGATGCAGTTTCAACAATCCTGCTAAGAAAAGAGTGAATAAGGCTGCATTGTTACGGGGGCTCTGTCTGCTTTCCCTACCAATTATTTGCCTGGCTTCTCTCCTTTCTTCCCTAAGATCCAGAAGCAAAACTTACAGTGCTCTTTCAGTGGCAGCAGAGTGCCCTTCTACTGTCCAATAAGATACTTTGTAAACATGTCAGGCAGCAACTGTGCAAAGTTTTCTGCCTAGTTTCTGGTAATAATTGAACCCAAGACCTCAAATAACCCAGACAAGAGTTCGGCAGCCGAGTCACATCCCAGTCTATACAATTGTTTCTTCTGGATTCCAAGTCGTGTAGGCTACTTAGCCATCTTTCATCTAATAAATTGTTGGACATGCCCCTTTTAAATATTTTTCAGCATGGAAACCGCTTAGTTGTACAAATCCCAAACCCCTCTACCTGAAACAGTAAGCAGTGTTCCCTGGTTCAGAAACCCAATCAGACTTGCAACGACCTAATACTATTACATGTTAAACATGAAATAAAAATACTTTTTGTGTCCAGATTGTTTGTTTTCAGAAGACAGACCTGTATGTTGCTCAAGTTTTAACTCTTAATATAGTTAGGGGAAAAAAGCAAAAAGCAGAAACAAAACAAAACAAAACACACACACACACAAACAAACCCAAAACGCTTTATCTGGTAACCTGGGTATTGTTTCAGGGAGCCCTTGTATATATGACACTGAGTACAAATGAGCACATTCCTCCTAGGCAGCAATCTTTATGAGTGGAGAGTAGCCAATGCCTTAAGAACTCATGTCTCACTCAGAAATAAATGAAACAGATTTCCCTACAAGGAATTCCATTAGATAAATCCAAGACAACTATCCAATAATGGACTGGTCAAAACATTTAAATACGACAAAAGCATAATATAGCAATTAAAAAGCGAAAGAAAATACTTAAAGATATAAAACAGATCCTGCCATCGGGTGTGTGTGTATGTGTCTAAAGCCACAGGGCTATGTGGCCCTGGCTGTCTGAAACTCTGTTTTTTAGGCTGACCTTGAACTTCCGCTTCTTCCCTTTTTTTTTTTTTTTTTTTTTGTAATTGAAAGATATATTTATGGATATATTTATTTTTACTTTGCTTTTCAGATTGTGACACATACACTTTGATACTGTGCTGTTAGCTGTAAGGATGTTAACATCTGAAAAATCTTTAATTCTCTGAGATAATTTTTCCCCCCTTGGGTTCTTGGCATATTTCCCTTCTTCATCCATGGTACTGTTTCTTGTTTTGACTTCTGCATTTTCTGAAAATAACTCAGATTTTCAAATTTCTTTTGGTACTTGTTGTTTTACTTTTTTTAAAATTTATTTATTGTTTTATGAGTCTTCCTTCTTAAAGATTAAAGGTGTGTGCCAGGACACCTGGTCACACTGCTCTGATTTAAAGGACACACTGTAAAGTATTACAAATTGTTTCATTAAAATATATAAATGTGAACATATGAAAATGTGTATGTTTTTTTAGACTGAGAACAATAAAATAGTACTTAAACTATTGAAAAATTGAACTGCAAAAAATATTTACAAGAAGGTTACTAATGACCTTTTTCTCATATTTTAACTTCCTCTGCAACGAATACAATTTGTTGCAGAGAATAACAGAATCCTTTATTATAATATTTGATATGGATAACATAGTCATGTTTTTGGGAAAAGTACTGTTAAAAAGCAGGGACTAGAGCAATGACTCGGTAGTAATGAGCACTTGTTTCTCTTTCAGAGAACCTGAATTCAGTTCCCAGCACCCGTGTCAGGAGGTGTAGCTGTTATCTCCAGCTCCAGGGATCCAATGCCCTCTCTATCCTCCATGGGCACCTGTACACATGTACACACAGATACACAAAAAGCCAACAGTGTCACCCCCACCAAGATCTGTCCCTTATAAACTGCATGCATTTCCCCAAAATATGAATGGTTTCTCTTGATTCCTTCTCAACTTTCTTCAGATGGAAGAATCATCTTAGGTGTCTATATTTGAAGAGCATTTAACAGCAAGCTGAAAAATCAATAGGCTAATTATAGGGCCCCACCCTCCCCCCTCTTTTTTCCAACAGTCTCTCACTGTATAGCCCTGGCTGTCCTAGATTTCCTAGAGATCCACCTGCTGTTTCCTGAGTGCTGGAATGAAAGGAGTACACTACCACACTTGGCCAATTACTTATAAATTTTGAGGAAATTTGAGAAGGAAATAGAGTACTTACTAAAATCATACTGAGCTCTAAGAAATCTCTTCCTGGTTGGATCTATTCAAGACTAGTTTGGGAACCATTAAGATGGCTCAGCAGGGGAGGGCACTTGCAGCCAAGTTTGATGACTCAGCTCTCTGGGACCAAGAGTGGAAGAAAGAACAGACTCCCCCAAGCTGTCCTTGAGTTCCACATATGTATCCCATGTAGGCAAACACACAAACACAAACTGTAAAAACAAACAAACAAAAAACCCTGAATGCTTACACTTTCTACTCTTAGCAATGCCCTACCATAAAACAAAGTTATCCCAGCAGAGGGGTTGGAGGCAGACACCAAGCAGTAAGTTCAATCTTCTTTACAGATTCTTGTTTCTCCACTCCAGTAAGACAACCCAAACAAACACATTTTAAAGTGCAATTTAGGAGCTGGGGGAGTCCTGGGTCACCATTCTTTTGAGGAAGGTCTGAGCTCATGTTTGTGGATTCTCAAGTCTGTTTTCTTTCATCTCCTCCACATTCCATGACTAGAGACTGGAAAATTCAGAGCTCAGAGACAGGCGCTGATGTACTTTCCTAAAATCAGGGTCTCAAACAGTTATGTTTAAATTGCTAAGAAGATAAAGATGGAAAGCATGCAGGTACAGATTCTTAGGTGCTTAAACTGAAAGCTTATATCTTAAAAAGTAAATAAATTCCCCCTGACTTTCTATTTTTAAAGTTTAGTTGATATTTTTTACAAAACGCAGAAAGCTGTTATTTCCTTTTACTCTCAACAGTGGTTATGGAAGAACAATTTGCTCATGTATCTTAACAGAAAAAATATAATCACAAACATAACAGACATAACTAACAAAGAATCACCTAGGAAGCTTCTAAAACATCAACACATACACCCTTATCCAAAGCCCTCCAGCCAAATAGTGCGCAAACAGCCTTTCAGTGAGTTCAGCTCTGAGAATCTGAAGAAACTCACCCCTACTGCTCAAAGGGCAGAGCCTAAATCACAAAAATGCTAACTATCTTTCAAAACAGCCTCTCCAAGTATCTCTGTGAGCAGAGGCATTTTTTTAACATTTTAAACTATTTTAGAAGTTGTTAAAAAAATATATTCGAAGAACACAGGATTTGTAATCGAACAAAACTACTTCTGTTTAGTCTAGATGAGCAACTGCTTTCCTTAGGTTAACAGTAATTTCAAAAGAAGACTTAGACCAACCATTACAAAATATTTTCAAGGTATCTTTGTTAAAATTTTTTAAAAGGTCAAATTCATGGCTGATACGGAGGCGATCTAAGTTTAAGTATGTAAATTACTGTTAAATTAAAAACCAATATATTCTTTTTGTGTTTTGTCTTGTATATGTGTATGCACTGTGTGCATGCCTGGTACCTGTGGAGGTCAGAAGAGGGTACAGATCTTCCATAAGGTGCTTTTCTAAGATATTTTGTCACAGCAACACTGGCGCTAAAGAGATGGTTCAGGTGTTGAGTCAGCTTCGTGCAAGTTCAGGACTACACTTCAGTTCGCAGTAGATCTGATGCCCATTTTTGGATTCCAGGGGTTCCAGGCATACATGTGCACATACATTAATGCAGGTACTCAGATACATAAAATGAAATATATCTTTTAAAAAAGTGTTTAAGAGGTGGGTGGGAGTGGCTCATGCCTTTAATCCCAGTTAGTGCTCTTAAAACTGCTGAGCCATCTCTCCAGCCCCTCAATATTTTTCTTGTTAAGTTCTCTTAGTTTAATTTCGGTAGGTTATCTGTCTGGGAGTTTATTCTTATTTTTACAACTTCTAAGTTCTCCTAATGGTTTCTTACAACCATCTGGACTTGTGTATTATTTTTTGTAACTTCTTTGTCTCTGGTTTTATAAATATAACTTGTCTATCATGACCATGATCAGTTAGGTCCATGGCTCACCAACATTGTTTATGCTTTCCAAGAGCCATCTTTTTGTTATGTCAGTATTTCATATTCTTTTGATTACTATTTCATTAATCTCTGCTTTTGTTTGTACTGTGTATTTTCATCTTCCCTGTTTAGGTTTGGGTTTTTCGTTTTTTAAGACCTTAAGGCATACCATTAGGTTATTGATCTCTCTGATTTCTGAATTTTTTTTTTTTTAAAGACAAGGTTTCTCTGTGTAACAGCCTTAGCTGTCCTGGAATTCACTTTGTAGAGCAGACTGGCCTCGAACTCACAGAGATCCACCCATCTCTGCCTCCCAGAGTGCTGGGATTACAGGCGTGCACCACTGTGTATATCTGTAATACTAGAACTTCTATGGGGAAATGGGAGTTGGGAGATAAGAAAACTGGATGACTTAAAAGCCAACCAACTAGCTCCAAGTATGTCTGAGATTCAGTGGCAGAAAAAAAGAGATGCCACTTCAACAAGGTGGAAGGTAAGAACCAACTCCCCAAATCGTCCACTGAACGCTGTACATGCTGCAAGTCATGTGCATGCACATGTACCAAGCCAGGCGCGGCGGCACAGGCCTGAGTCCCAGCGCTCAGGAGGCAGAGGCAGGCGGATCTCTGTGAGTTTGAGGCCAGCTTGGTCTACAAAGTGAATCCAGGACAGCTCAAGGCTACATAGAGAAACCCTGTCTCGAAAAACAAAACAAACAAACAAAATAATAACAATAAAATAAAAAGTTCCTGTAAAGTGAAAGAAAACTATCAACAGAGTCAAAAGACAGTCTATATGATGGTAGGGAATCTTGCCAACTATCCATTTTAAAGAGGATCAGTATGTAGGACATAAAAGATTGAACTCCTGAGAGAATACAGACTACACAGTAAACAAGCAAATAAACTGAAAATGCGCTTCTCAAATGAAGTACAGCTTGCCAGTAATTAACTGAAAAGCTACCCTCTTGAGGCTCATCAGGAAAAGACACATCAAAGCTACCACTGAAACCGTCTCATCCCACTTAGAATGGCTATCAGCACGAAAACAAAAAGCAACAAATGCTGAGGAAAATGTGGGGGAGAAAGAAACCCTTGTACATTGTTGTGGGAATGTGATGTACTCTGGCCACTATGGAACACTACAATCTCACGAACTGCTAGTGAGCTGTAGGATACTGTATCTGCTATAGAAAAGTTTGTGCATTCTGTAAAATTTCATCAGTTACTACGTCACCCTGTTCTCTATCTAGGTACTCCAAGATCTGAAACTTTCTTAAGTTCAAAGATGTTCAGAGCACCATCAAGAACAGTCAAATAAAATAAAAATTATATAAAAAAAGAACAGTCAAATAAAACTAAACAAAATGCCCACCAATTGCTGAATAAGCAAAACGTGGCATAGTCACATTCAGCCACAGGAAGGAATCAAATATTGAAAAATTCACGTACAATAAATATTAAGTTTGAAAACATTGACAAGAAAGGCTGTAATTAGATTATCATTTATATAAAACTTTCAAAATAAGCAAATCAATATGGATAGAAATATAGTACTTGTCAGAGTATAATGTTGGAGAGGGTTAATGAGGACCAAGTGGTAATATATCCAGGGTTCCTTTAAGGAATGATGGAGTGTTCTGAAATTAGTGATAATACTTAGAAAATTCCGAATATACTAAAAGAAATTACATAATCTAAAGTGGCAAATTTTATAGTACAAAAAAAATGTATCTTGATTTTTCAAAGTGGTCTCTTTTTGAAATAAAAATGCATACGCTAGGGTCAGGTGAAGGGGAGGAGATAGACTGGGAAAGGGGCGTGGGAGGATGAGGGAGGGAGGGCTACAGCTGGGATACAAAGTGAGTAAATAAAAAATTATATTAAAAGAATATAAAAAAACAAAAACCCCACACATATGAAAATCAAATAAAGTTTTTTTTCCAAAGAAATAAAAATGCTATGGCTAGGCTAGCTGAAGTCAACTGTTTTCCTTACGCATGCCTTCTCTTTGCTCTATAATCCTCCTTGTCGGAACACATATGCAGAGTATACAACTTCAAAGGAGTTCTCTATACACTGTGGTATACTATATAAGATAATCAAACACTACAGTTTATAAGCCCCACCTCCTCCCCCCAAAAAGTCCAAGAATAATTCAGTGGCTTAAATACAGTCAGCATTTGCCCAGGAGAAATGGAATGACTGATTAGGTATAGTTAGATCTCCACAATGTTTTAGGTTTACAATACTGTGAAAGCAACACATATTTAACAGAAACCATTCTATTTTTATTTTTCCTCAAACTAATATACAAGTATAATTATCTTTTGTGATGAGAGACAGTGGCAGTGAGTCACGGCTTCCATTAAGACCCAGAATTGTTTATTGTGTGACAAACAACCAAGACTCTAGCATTAACTGCAGTGCTCGGTTATGATATGCTAGAGATAGATGCATTCTGAACTTACAGCATTTACAATTTACAACAGATTTATTCAGATATACCACATCTTAAAGTCAAGGAATATTGATAGGCACATCTATGGATGAGAACTATTACCACAAATATGGTAGGATGAAAACACTATAATAACCTTTGTAGTATCAGACTCAAATTAAACTTCGGCATCTACTATATATCTATTCATAGAAATAACTGTGAGCTTAAGTTCTCAAATCTTATCACAAAGCTTACTAAACAATTTGTTAATTCCAGGACTAAGATGGAAATACCAGACAAACCTGAACATTTACTTGGGCAGAAAGTAAGTTAGCACAAAGAATGATACACTCATGTTAAATGAACATGAAAGCATTTTGAAGCAGCTACTATTTGGCCAAACTTGGGAAAATGTGAGCATCAAAATAAATGAGAGTAACAGCATACTGAGTAACACAGGAATCAATTTATTTATACATAGCTGGATAGGGAACAGTCTCAGAAAAACTTATCAAACAACTACATAAGGAAAAGTAAAAAGCAGGGTACTTAAGAGATGGAGGCAACAATATCACCAATTCAAGGGTGGCTCAGCTACATAGTAAGTTTGGATATATGAAAAAATACAAAGGGGAAAGAGAACTTAGAAATGAGGATTGGAAGTCACACTGTCATTAAGGGTACACTAATTAGGGGTACAATGAAGTTACATTGACAGCTAGTAGTACAGAATGGAACACAGGATTACTTTTTAAAATGAACGCACTTCAGGAGGTAACAATAAATCACAGAAAGGGACAGCATACGAAGTAACTGGCCTGTTTCTTCAAAAGTTTCAAAGTCATGAAAATTTTTTAAAATCACCACAGAACCACAATCTCTCAGATTAAAGCAACTAAAGAAACAAGACAACTAAGTAAAACACATTGTGAACTGCACCTTGGTGGCTACAGGGGGCATTCTAGGGACACTCTAGTCAAACTAAAATGACTTCAGTAGTATGTAGATTAGACGATGATGATTTCTAAATGATAATTTGCTGGTTTGCTGGTTGCATAAAATTGTGAACCATGCTTGTTTACAGAAAGCATACACTGAAGAGTTTAAGAGTGATGAGACATCTTAACACTCAGAAAGGTATTTGTACCATTCTTATGGCTGTTCTTTGCTTATGAGATTGTTTCAACTATAAAATTGCTACATATGTATGCAACTATAAAATGACTGAATGAAATACAAAACATAAGCCTTTAATCCTGACATGCAGGAGGCAGAGGTAGGTACATCTCTGTGAATTCAAGGCCAGCCTGGTCTACATAGAGTTCCAAGACAGACAGAGGTGAACCTTTGCCTCAAAAATAGTAAGACCAAACTAAGATTATCTGTACATATGACAGAAAAATAAAATTTTAATTGATTTTCTTATTAATTTTGGTTATTTCCATAATGAGTACAAAATACAAGCATCATACACATTTTGAACTACTTGATAATGACCAATGAATTAAACTTTGGTACATTAGTTTTAGATATATGTGCATGGCACACTTTCAAGACTAAACTATGTTAATACCTTGGATCCTTTATATTTTGTCCTCCTACTTTGGATTATGGTGTGTCAAAACAGTAAATATGACAAGGACATAAGGAAATCATGGGTTAAAATTTAAGCTTTAAAGTATTATCTAGAGTTCAGTATAATTTTTCTATTTTTTGGAAAATCTCAATATGTATACATGAAGAGTTCTGGGGTGTGCATGTGTACGTGCCAGAGAGAGAGCGAGAGAGCCTTGTATCTTGAGGGCCCCCCTCTCTCTGACACATGTGCACACACACACACACCCCAGAACTCTTCGTGTCTCTAGATAATACTTTAAAACTTAAATTTTATTTCATTTGATTTTATAGCACAGTAAGCATAGTTACTTTCAGTTACTTGCTTAGCTGACACACTCAGTTCCAGAATAAAATAAATTGATATTTGATGAATAATAAGCATGATAGATCAAGGACAGTGTTTGTTTAGAAATTAACATCATTTATCTAACAGCACATAAAACTCTAGTATTAGCATTCTTTCTGTTACATAGTGGTTCATAATACCCTAGATAGTATTTGTTAAAAACATATTTCTAAACCCCATTTTTAAAAATGCTACTTTTGTAATTCAGGTTAAGAGTGGGTATTTTTTTAAAAAGTATTTCAGGTGACTGTAAAGCAAAGAGCAGCCAACTTCTGTGATACCCAACTATAATCCTAAGGTTTAGGGAAGGTAAGATTGGCAGCTCCAGGCCAGCCCAGGCTTACAGCCAGACCTTATTTTAACCCACAACAAGCGAAATAAGATAAGGAGTGTTTCAGGCCACAAGAAATGACAAAAAATAAAGAATGCATTAAGTATATTTTAGCCTTCACTTAGTCCATGATCTGAACATTGCCATTTCTGTAGTCATAATAGAACCTCCAAAAGATACTCACTGCAACTTGGGCTGAATCCATGAACCTCAGACCAAAGTAGTCACTTTCAATCAAGTCCAGGTGATACATAATTTGATCAAACAGCTCTTGTCCTTTGGCTTTTTTCTGAAACAGCAATAAGATGAATTAGTAAGTGGCTTGACCAGCGTCACTGTCCTAATTTCTGATCTTAGGGAGAAAGTTATTTCTTTTAGTTTTCTGCTCATTTCTAAATTTGCTTTAATGCTTGTTTTCCTCCAATGGGAAGATTCCCAAATATGTCCTCATCAATTTCTTCTTGATGTTAAGTGATCCCAGTGTTATCCACTGTATTTTTATTTAATTGTACTCTCCCTACCTCCTGTTTCCACTGGGCCCTTTCAAGCAAGCTATCATTCTTATTTCACACTGTTAACCTTCCCGATTTTTTATTTCATCTGCCATTGCCTAAGTATTCTCTGTAATGTAGTAGTTTCTATTATCTTTGACTTTTGAGATACTTCTGTATTTTGTCTTTGTATTTTAGGAAGGTAAGTTACTCTTTCCAGATTAAATATAACAAGAAAAAAAATTAACTCTAAAGTCTATGACTGCTTCATGGGGGCTGGGTAGGATCCTAGAGAAGAGAGGCCCAAGAACCAAAAACCAGTTAATACTTTGAACAATTCCTAAGGACAGCAATTAATACTCACTCCCCAGAGGAGATACTGCTTTAGCTATAACTCACCCAGCTCAGTAGGGAAGGAAATCTAGCTAGGTAAGTAATAATTCCGCTAGCTAGGTAAGTAATAATTCCGCTAAGTGTCATCATCAAAAAGGGAACACAGAATACTCAACTCCTGATTACCCTCCCTACTTTTCAATACACCAGTATCCAACTTCTATTACATTAATTCTAATTCTAAGGTACACTTCTAGATTTAATTTCACATTCCATCAACATTCTATATTTGTTCCAGAAACAAACAAAAAAAAAAATCAAACATGGCCTTTTAAAGATGAAATTCACTTCCTCTTGCCTATGCAGCATTCCCAGCCTTCTGAAATATAGTAGCTGTGTTCTAGAGGAGAAAATGGGCTTCTGCAAGATGGACAGAACAAAAGTCTTTTCAAGGTATTGTATTTTACCTTCTTTACTAAGAAGTCAATCTAAGCCATCCAAAAGTGAACACATGGCATTTTCAAATTCCTTAAGTTAGTGATGCCCAAACTAAATCTCTACATCTAAAAGAGAATTTATTAAAACAATCTGGCTGCTGGAACAGCACGGACATTCTAAAAACTTTCATTCATAAGAATAATCAGATTCTTAGCCAAGAACACTAGTTTAAACAGAACAAATGTGCCACAAAGTATTATTTTTGCAATAAAGGAAATGACTACAGTTTGTTAGTTCTGCCTGAAAGTACCAACAAGCTGGCTTTATGTTTCAACTTGAGCCTCAAAGAATAAATGCAGCCCTGCTAGCCTAGGTGAAAACAAATGAAGATAGGAGGAAGGTCATAATAGTCTTTGGTGGTATGGAGGAAAGAAACAGTCTGGAGACAAGCAAGAGTCAGAAGATGGAGTGACAAAGCTGCCCATGGAATGTAACTTATTAAATAGAATTATCAGCATTCTTCAAAATACCTTACTAGTCATTATTTACAGGTTAGAGTACAAACTGGAATTTGAAAAAATCTTTCATGGGCTGGTGAGATGGCCTAGCGGGTAAGAGCCCTGCTGTTCTTGCAGAGGTCATGGACTTGGTTTCCAGCGCCCATATCAGGCCACTCACAGGGCAAATTCCAGCTCCAGGGATCTAATGCCCTCTTCTGGCCCCAATGTGAACCCGATACACATATGCACAAACAGGTACACACAGACACACACATAAATAAAAATAATTCCTATATAAAAAAATCTTTCCTAAGTACACCTCGCTCACTCTTAAAACTGTTTCTTTGTCAGGAAGTGTTGTCTGTAATTTGACCAGTATGCTGTAACACTGAGACATCAGAGCATGCCTTTCTTTCTCCTTACAATGTCTTATTTGCACCTCATCAATTCTTGGTTCTGGCTACTCAGAAATGAATACATTCATGCTGGCTGTTGGTTTCTGTCAACCTGACACAAACCTAGACATACCTGGGAAGAGGAATCTTGATTGAGAAAATGTTCCCTATAGGCAAGTCTGCAGGACTTTCTTTTAAATCTCTTAATTCCATTTTATTTATTTTTTAAACTTTCATACAATGTATTTTGATGGCTGGGTAGTGATGGCGCAAGCCTTTGATCCCAGCACTGGTGGGAGGATTGGGGGAAGAGTGGAGATAGACTGATCTCTGTGAGTTAGAGATAGGCTAACACTAAAGAGTAAGCTCCAGGACAACCGGGGTTGTACAGAGAAACCATGTTGCAAAAAACAAAACCAACAACCAAAATATTCCCTCCTCACCCAGCTCTCTCTGAGTCAACAAACAAACAAGGAGAAAAAAAAAAGGCAAAATGAAACAAAACCCTGTGGAGTTTGGTGTTGGCTCCCTATGTCTGGACGCAGGATATGCTCTGGAGTGTGGTGGATATGCCCAATGACATTCCATCGGAAAACCTTATTTTCTCTTTGTCAGCTGTCTCCAGTTTCAAATAGCTTTTTGATTAGGGGTGTGCCCTCATGTCCACCGGCCCCTCCCAGTGCTGGGAGCCTGACTGGCTTGAACCAGTGCAGGTCTTATGCATGCTGCCACAGTCTCTGAGTTCATATATGCATCCCTATCAGTCCTGTTGTGTCTGGAATATACTGTTTACTTGGGAGTCATCCACTACCCCTCTTTCCACCGCCTCCTCTTTCCTGCATAGATCCCTGAGCCTTGGGGGGAAGGGGTCTGGTGAAGGCATCCCATGTAGGACTGAGGGCTGCAAAGTTTCACTCTCTGTACACTGTCCAGTTGTGATTCTCTGTATTAATTTCTATCTACTGCAAAAAAGAAGCTTCTCTGATGAGGACTGAACAAGGCACTGATCCTCCAGATTAATGTTAATATGGGAGGGCCCAGTTAATACTGGGGGCAGATGTGTTGTATTTGTGTAAGAAAGGAAGCTGAGAAAGCCGGGAAGAGCAAGTTAGTAAGCAGGCCTCTGCTTCAGTTTCTGCCTCCAGGTTCCGGCCTTGAATTTCCCTGATGAAGGACTCTAAGGTGTATGGCAAATAATCCCTTTCCTCTCCAAGCTGCTTTTGGTCATGCTGTTTTAATCAGAGCAATAGGAAACCTAAGCTAGCACCAAGTAGAAAGGGCAGGAAGCACAGGCCCACGCAGTTCTAGCCAGGGCAAATCCCATGTGAGCTGCCAGTAGCCTTAACCTACTACTTAGTTTCTTTCCCCCAACAAATGAGCCCAGATCACTCTCTCAGTGGGACCAGTCCTCCCTTCACATTCTACTCCAGAAGATTAAGACCACCAGGGCATTATCTTTTATAAGCCCTCTTTTTCCTCAGAACGCATCTCTCCCAGAATGTTCTTCCTCTGCCTATGTATGTAGAGCCAATCCCCAAAGAACATTTTTCCTACCCCTTGAAACAAACTCAAGAGTTTCCCTACACAGCCATTTTCTAGCTGTTGTGGTATTTCTTCTCTTCTAAACTTCATGGTAACTTATTGCTCAGACAACTAGTATGCTAAAAGCAGCTACTATGTTCAAGGGACTACAGAAAATTCAGAAAAACATAACTACTGCTGAAAATTACTTTTACTTTCTAAAACCTGGCTACCAAACATACTTGCCTAGCACAATGCCTTCCTCCATATCCACTATTTACCCTCTCTGTGACAGCTAAGTCTTCTTTCATAATGTTCCACACCATGATATGGCCCAGTCTAAGCCTATATGCTCATTACTCATCCTTGTTCCTTCCCCTCACCACATTCGGGTGCTAGCCATTTCTTCTCTGCACACTCACGTGCCCTTGCACCTGCATTGCTTTAGGTTTCCAGTATTTCCCCCTTCTCCAAATCAAGTCTACCATCTATAACTACAAGTAAGTGTCATTTTAAACATATTTCCTGGCTACAAAAACAAGACAAAAGCAACAACAAACCCCCAAAAGTGACATATACACACAAAAAAATGTTCTGTTCATTTTTTAAGGGGTGGAAATTAAAAAAAAAAAAAAACCAACAGAAAAGCTTAGTTGAAATGTAACTCATACCCCATTCACCCATTAGAAGGCTGGATGCAGGAGCACAGAGGCAGACAGTGTCTGTTCAAGGCTAGGTTTCAAGCCAGCTAGCATTACAGTGAGAGACTGCCTCAAAATCAACACAAAAATGTAATTCAAGGGGTTCTAGCACACAACAGGTATAGATAATCATTAGTTGATTGCAGAATATTTTCATTACCTCTAAAAGAAATTCTGTATCCTTTAGCTATTACTTTTTACCACTTCTCTGAAGGTTCCCAGGCATCTGCCCTAAGCAATCACTAATCTATTTTTCATTTCTACAGCTCTTCTTGTTCTAGGCTCTCACAAAACAAAATGTGTGGTTCTTTGTGACTGGTTTCTTTTTTCTTATTTATTACTTTTTAAATGTGCATTGGTGTTCTGCCTGCATGTATGTCTGCGTGAGGGTGTGAGATCCCCTAGATATGAAGTTAAGACAGTTATGAGCCACCATGTGAGTGCTGGGAATTGAACCAGGCAGGGTTCTCTGGAAGAACAGTCAGTGCTCTTAACCACTGAGCCATCTCTCCAGCCCAGTGACTGGTTTCTTTCACTAGCATATTTAACATCATCTATGTTACAGGTATCAGTGTTTAATTTCTTTCATGGGTAGTAACTTGACTTTCCCTATACATCCTGATGTCCTCAGTCATTCCCACCTTCCTGCTATTAGAAACAATGCTGCTGTGAACATTTTATGCAAGCATATTTTTGTTTTTCTTGGATAAATCTTGAAAAGTGGAAACACTTAGTCACAAGCTAACAGTGTTCTATCCTTTCAATAACTAAGATTGTTTTCCAAAGTAGCTGTTTTACATTCCAATCTCAGTGTTAATATGATCCTGATTTCTCTACATTCTCTCCAATACTTGCTATTATCTGACTTTTCAGCCTTCTCACATGAGTGTGAAGGAATACTTTTTTGTGGTTTGTGTGTGTGTGTGTGTGTGTGTGCGCACGCGCTGGATTTTAAAGCCAGGGCCTCACACATGCAGGCACACTTGACCACTAAACTATGACCAACCTGACTCTGAATTCTCATGTATTTGTCCTCATCTATTTTGTATGTCCTAACAATTTGTACTTAGATCTTTTGCTTATTTTTAAATCAAGCTGTCTTTTTATGGTTTGCAACAGTTCTTTATATATTCTAGATACAATCCTTCATTAGATATAGAATTTTGAAGTATTTTTTGTTATGATATTGTACAGTCTTTTACCTTTCTAAGTGGTTCCCTTTGAAGGGCACACACTTTTAATTCTGATTAGTTTACCTGATTTTTCTTTTTTGTTGTTGTTTTCTTTTTTGTTGATGTCATTATCTAAGAAAATATTCCTACATTTTCTTCTAAAGATTTTATAGTTTTAGTTCTTATGTTTATATCTTTGATTTATATTATTTATTTATTTATTTTATTTATATTTAATCTTTATATGCAGAATGAGGAAAGGTCTCAAGTTTATTCTTTTTTTTTTTTTTTTAAGATTTCTTTATTTTATGTACATGAGTGCTCCAGAAAATAGCATCAGATCATATTATAGATGGTTGTGAGCCACCATGTGGTTGCTGGAAATTGAACTCAGGACCTTTAGTAGAGCAGCCAGTGCTCTTAACCTCTGAGCCATTTCTCTACTCCCCTCCCAATTTATTCTTCTGCATGTAGGTATGTGTTAGAGGAAAAAAAAAAACAAAAAAACCCTATTCTCTGTTGAACAGTCTTGGTATCCTTAGCAAGAGTCAACTGGATCACAAATGTAGGCAAAACACCCAAACATACAAAAATAAATAAATCTAAAAAAAAAAACATTTTTAAAGGCCACAGTTTTTGTTCCAAAAAGTTAATCTAAAATTGTGCTGTGTTATTGCACTGTTTCCTAACATATGTAGAACCTGATCAAAGCAGCACCATTTTGAACAGTCACTAAACACTTGTTGCTATTCTTGTTTCAGCGCCTGAGACCTTTCTCCTCCATATCACACTGCCCTTTAAATGCGCTTCTCTACAAACTCAGTATCAGCCTACCCATCAACAGCCTAAGATGTCATACTTCAAACATTAGGTAATAAAATTTTCCAGGCTCTCCCATGGCAATCTCATGCTTTTCACTACATATCTAATAATATTTTAATTGGACTAATACACAAAACTCTTCAAGATTCTTATCAAATAAAAATAAAAATGAAAATTATCCTTACTAAGGATCTCATGTTGGAACAGCTACAAGCCCTCAACAAGCCCTTACAGAAAATCTAGATGCCTTAAAGTTTACAAAATCAAAAACTCTAAAAATGTGCAGTCCAATGTGCATGCTGACAACAAGCACATACAATGAGGACTTGCAAACACTTCTAGAGAGTTGGGTGTGGTGTACACAGCTGTTATCCAGTACTCAGGAGGCTGAGGCAGAAATTTCATGAAAGCCTGGAATGCATACCTCAAAATAGATAAATACACAGATAGATAAAACAAAAGCTGAGCATGGTGGTGCAAGCCTGTAATCCCAGCACTCAAGGAGCAGAGGCAGGTGGACTGCTGTGAGTTTGAGGCCAGCCTGGCCTACAAAGTGAGTCCAGGACAGCCAAGGCTACACAAAGAAACCTTGTCTTGAAAAACCAAAAAAATAAACAAATAATAATAATAAAACAAAGCTGGGAGGTGGTGATGAATGCCTTTAATCTCAGCATTTGGGAGGCAGAGGCTGGCAAATCTTTATGAGGCCAGCCTGGTCTACAATGTGAGTTCCAGGACAGCCAAAGATAGAGAAACTCTGTCTTGAAAAAAACCAACCAACCAACCAACCAACCAACAAACAAACAAAAAAACCCAACAACAATAAATACCAAGAAAACTTGAGCCTGAACAAACCATGCAATTCTTCAGAGTAAACTTATATATTTGAGGCCTTTCAGAGTTTATTCAACTATATATCACATATAGCTATCAATCTGCCATACTTTTCAAAATGAATTTTAGTAAAATGTCTATAGGAGTCTTAGTATCTGCTTTGATACACTGCTAGGCAGAGTCTTTCAGAGGCCCTCTATGGTAGACTCCTGTCCTGTTTCTTGTTTTCTTCTACTTCCAATGTCCATCCCATTTGTCTTTCTAACTGAGGGTTGATCATCTTACCCCGGGACCTCCTTCTTGTTTAGCTTCTTTAGGTGTACAGATTTTAGTATGTTTATCCTACTTATAAGTGAGTATATACCATGTGTGTCTTTCTGCTCCTGGGATACCTCACTCAGGATGTTCTGTTCTAGATCCCACCATTTGCCTGCAAATTTCATGATTTCCTTGTTTTTAATTGCTGAGTAGTATTCCATTGTATAAATGTTTCTGTATCCATTCCTCCGTTGAGGGACATCTTAGGCAGAGTGCAGGGAATCACATGAAAGAAGGCGGAGTTAGTAAGACCTGGAGAGGACAGAAAGTGCCACAGGACCAAATATATCTGGGCACAAGGGTCTTTTCTGAGACTGATTCTCCAACCAAGGACCATACATGGATATAACCTAGAACCTCTGCTCTGATGTAGCCCATGGCAGCTCAGCATCCAAGTGGATTCCCTAGTAAGGGGAACAGAGACTGTCTCTGACATGAACTCAGTGGTGGGCTCTTTGAGCTTCCCCAAACCCCTGAGGGATGAGCAGCCTTGCTAGGCCACAGAGGAGGACACTGCAGCCAGTTCTGATGAGATCTGATAAACTAGGGTTAGATGGAAGGGGAGGAGGACCTCCCCTATCAGTGGACTTAGAGAGGGGCAGGGAGGAGATGAGGGAGGGAGGATGGGACTGGGAGGGAATGAAGGAAGGAGCTATAGATGGGATACAAAGTAAATAAACTATAATTAATATAAAAAATAAAAAAAAATGTCTATAGAAACAGCAGCTATCAAGAAATATCCAATGAAACTTATGTTAAAAATCACATAATTTAGAGTTTCGTGAAGTTTCTAAAAAAGAACAAAGATGTAAGAGCTTTGGTATCTACAAAACGTTCTGAAACTCAAACCTGGCATGGCAGCACGCGCGCACTCACACACACACACACACACACATACACACACTCTGCAGTCAAAGCAGGATGGCTACAAATACAAGGCCAACCTGAGCTTCAGTGTGATCCTGTCTACAAACACACTGGTGTCTACATGCAAAGACACAAACAGAGTTAATTCACACTAATAACTGCCCTATCATTCAATGTGTCCTGCAGCTGCCATCAATTCCAGGTCTGCTCAGCCTACAGGTACTCGTCCATGCTCATAAATACGCTAGTGCGTGATCCATACTCACCCACCTCACTGAGCCCAGGAAGTACAGACTGGCAGCTGAGGAAGGCGTACTTACCGGCAAATCCACACTAACGTCTGTGCCATCCAGAAGGGACACCCTGCATGTGATAACGGACTTGGCATCCCCAGCTGCAGGAATGTGTGTGGCAGCACGCTGTGCCTCTCGGAGTCGCTCCTTCTCAGCATGTTTGCGCATAGACCGGCGGCCAAGCGTTCTCCGCAGGAAACTCAGCATTTCTGCCTTTACAAAACCAGTGGTGAAAATGACAGCAAGGAAAAGAAACTCCCAACAACTTGTAGTCAAATTAATGGTAGTATTTAGTAAAGGCTTATAGATGTTAATTTGAAAAAGTTGAAATACTGCTTTTTAAACATAATTCAAAATGGTGCATATACGTTCAATTTTCATTTCAAAAACCATCTTTAAAGCTAGATTTTTAACATAAAAATTTAAAACACATTAAAATAGAGCACTGCTTGCAACCTGTTAAACTTACTGTCTTATTTTATAAGGAGCTGATCTGACAGGAGAAAGCAACAATTCATGCCGTTCCCCAAGTGTTCTGAATCAGTAAGTGGTACCTAAGGAAGCTGATAGCCTTACAGATATTACGTAACAGTGCCAGACACCACTGAGGTCGACTCTGAGCTTTGTTTTTTTTCCTAAACTGAGCATTCAAAATAAAAATAACTACTATTTCAGCAAAGTACAAATACAATTGAACTGTTTTACTGCTTAATGTTCTACCAAGAACATTAAAGTTAAAATAGCTACTAGTTATTTAAAATATTGTACATTATGATTAAAAACACTAAATACAAGAATGGAAACAATGCAAAAGCTACACCAGGTTCCTTCATAAATCTTAGTTTTACAACTAAGAGACTCCAAGAAAAGTAAACATCAACTAGGTACACATAAAGACAATTATTAATTCCAGGGGAAAAAAAGTGTAGAAAATGAAGAACAGCCACAGCATACACGGGCTCCGCAGCAAATAGCTCAAGTTGTCCTCATACTCCAGCACAGCTCTACAGTACCTACGCCAGAGACAGGACAAGTGCGGAAGAGAGCGGTTCTCAATCACCACACAGCAGTTCATCAAATAGCTTAGAGTGAAAAGCAGCATTAGGAACACAGGAAGGCACTGCCTGGGAGAGGAGGCAGCAGAATTCCAGCAGAGAGATAAACAGCCAAATAGAAGAAAATGGGTGACATGGAAAAGGACATCCCAAGTGAGAATAGTAAGGATGCCTCATAAAAAATTCTAGCACTTAGAAGGCCAAAACAGGAGAGTTCTGAGTTCTAGACTAACCTGGTCTATAAATGTGCCAGTTGCATGCTAGGGTGAGCTACATATGGAAGTCCTGTCTCAAAACCAAATAACAACAAAAACACAAAAAAGATAAGATGGTTTAAAGTGAGTAAAGGTCCTTGATGTAAAGCCTAACTTGATCCCAGAACCCACATAAAGGCAGAAGGAGAGAACTCTGCAATTGGCATGCAAGCGTACCCACCCCGCACCATGACTGAAACAGAGTCCAATAGCAGCCAAGAAAATCTAACCTAAAAAACAAGATAAAAGCCAGGCATGGCAACACACCCAGTAATCCCAGCACTGGGGAAATGGAAGCAGAACATCAAGATCATTCCTGGCCACATAGCAAGTTGTAGGCCAAGCCAGGTAACATGAGACACTGTCGCAAACAAACAAATAAACCTCCAAAAAAGCAAAAACAAAAAGATAGATATGTGAGATGCACCTAATAGTTTCAAAGATTTACATCAGACCTCTAGCACTGCACAAAGTCCAGAAAAGTGGCTCCTCCCTGTTTGCCTGTCCGGTAGTGCATGAAAGGCTGAACCGTGGTGAGAGAACCAGCTCCTATGGGTTGTCTCTGACATCCACATGCTCGCTCACACCTACCTACTCACATAAATCAGCTGTATGTGTGCACACACACAGTTCCAGGTCAGCCATGCTGCATAGTGATACCTTGTCTTAAACAAACCAAACCTGTCTTAGAGTGAAAATCAAATAAAATTTAAGTGAAAAAAAAATCAAATAGAAAATTGAAAATATTCCACTTTGAAATATAATCCATATACATATACGCGTACATAGAAACTACAAAGTGCAGATGGTTTAAGGGAGGTTCTCTCTGTAGAGAGTTAATCCAGAGGTCATAAGAATATGTGTTGTTTAAGTTTTTAAATACTAAAAAAAATTAAAAAATAAGGATCAGACAAAGAAATTTAAAAAGTGTGCCCTACCTCTGTTCCCTCATCCCACCTGCCCTCAATCCCACTCTGGGTGCTGCAGCTAGGGATCAGTGGATTACTGGCCTCCACAAATCTGATTCCTTTCTAAATCTTTAACTGCCGTGGCTCCTCCTCCTGGGCCTCTCTGTCTAGCAGCCTGCTCTCTCTGCTCCAGTGCTTTGCTCCACTTAAGTGTCTTTCTGGTTCCAGAACTTTCTTCATTAGTGGCTCTATCTCCCATTCTTCTTGTCAGATAGTTAGCTCTATATTTACACATAAAATGTTACTTCTTCAGAAAAGCACCCTCAGATCCTGAGGCTGGATTAGATGTCCCTGTCAGTGCACAGGCTTTTCTTTATGACATGGAAAGAAACTGTAATTAAATATTTAATTGACTTTTTTTTTTTTTTTTTTTTTTATGGCTAGCCTCCCTCCCATCCCAACCCCAAGGACAAGGACCGAGCCTGACTTGCTTACTGTGATGAATGATCAAACTGCTACTATGGCAGGGTTGCCGCAAACCACACTACATATTAGACAATCAATAAAAAACTAACCCGATAAAGTAAAACGTTACATTAAAAACTGGCACTAAAGAAGCAAATACTAAAAGAGACTTGAAAAATAACCCCAGCCCCTGGAAGGCAGAAGCAGAATTCTAGGTTCCAAGCCTAGAATCCAAGCCTATATATTGTATAGCAAATTCCCAAGCTAGCTTGGACTGCATAGGGAAAGACTGTCTCTAAAAACAACTGAAAATATGAGTGTTGGGAGTTACAGTTTTCAAATAAATAAACTTTCTGAGTTTTCAACAAGGTTCCTCTTCAATCACAGAAATGCAAACTGAAGTAATCTATTTCCTACTTAACCGATAGATGCTTTAACCCCCACCCCAAGTTCATGCATTACTGAAACCAACTGCACCTCCTCCCGGTTTGGTTCTTGTTGCAGTGCTGGAAATTGAACCCGGGGCAAGGGCATCAAATACGACGTACGGACTTTTCAACTAAGGCACTGATTTTTTAAAACAGAAATACTGAAAACTATAGAAAATTTCCTAAAGTTATCAGTATCTTTTTCATTCATCCCAGTTACTCCCGCAAAAGAAAATATAACTTTTTACGCACATCGCTTCCCAAACACAGTGTGCTACCAAAACAAAACAAAAGAAAACCCCCTGTTTGAGGATTCAGCTCAGCCTAGGGCGTTCCAGAACTCGGGTTAGGTTCTCAGTATCGAAAGGAAGAAAAAAAAGAACGAAGTGGGAGTGGATTTGGGGAGAAAAAAAAAAAAAAAAAAAAAAAAAGAAAAAGAAAAAGAACGATCCTGAAGCGTTCAGCAAGACACATACAAATAACCCACGGCGGTGCGTGGTGCTCAGCGTAAATTTAAGCTCAGCTGGGGTCAGCGCAGTTGTGAGTTACATTAATAACGTATCGGTGGGCTTGCCTCTAATTATTGAGAAAAACAAAAACAAACACTACTAGTAACTTTACACTACTGCCAAACAACTTCGGACCCGGGAGACTACAGTCGCCACAGAGAGCGACACAATTACCTCCTACCCACCCGAGGGCCCAGCATCACGGCCGCGCGCCACGCGCGGGGGCGGGGAGCGCCCGGGGACGCACCTGCCTCACCCGACCCCAAGCTTCCCAGAGCCGCGCGCGGGCTCGTCCCGGCGGGTGTGCGCCCGCGAGCCCACCAGGTGACCCTGGGGACCTCCCCGAACCTCGCGGCTCCACGGAGGTCGGCGGCGACGGGCTTCTCCACGCCGCGCGGGACCCCGGCGACGCGCCCGGCCCTCGGCGGCCGCCGCGCGGTATCGACCGAAACTCAGCGGGCCGCCCGATTGGCCGCCGCCGCCACTCCCCTCCCAGCCCGCGGCGTCGCCTCGGGAGCCGGGCCGCCCACCCGGCGCGGCCGAGCGTCCCCGCCCGCCGAGCGGAGCCACTGGACACCCGCGGCCACACTCTTACCTGGACCGGGGGGCGGTGAGGACCGTGCGACAACGGAGACCGCGACGACTGGCGCGCGCGGCTCTTGGGGAAAGACGCCGAGGCGGCCCGACGCGAGGACAGGTCTCCGGAGACGCCGAGAAATGGCGGCGCGAGGCGCGAGCCCACCCTGCACTAATCTCCCGAGGACCCCGGCCGCCCGCGGGCACGCCCCTTAAAGCCCCGGCCAAGCTCCGCCCCGAGGGGTGGGGTGCTCTGCTCTTAAAGGGGCAATGGCGCCGCCCCGGAAATCGGCCTCCTGAGGCTGAGTTTAGGCTGGCAACGCCAGGTGGGACCGACAGGAATAAGAAACTGGTGTCTAAAACCTGGAGTTGGTGGCACGCCAGCACTGGGGAGGCAGAGGCAGATGAATCTTTGGGAGATCGAGGCCAGCTTGGTCTACAGGGCGAGTTCCTAGACAGGCAGAGCTAAAAACCTGTCTGGGGTATGGGGAGACACAAAACAAACACAAAACCTGTAATCTAAGAGGGTACCTGCTGCGCTTGTCTAAAATTTAGTTCTATCCCAAAGGCAGGTGCATGGAAACGTGACTGCCATCCTGATTCATTTGTTCATTAATTAAATAAGACAACAAAGGGCAGCTGGCACGCTGGGGCACATGTTTAATCCCTGCAATTTGGGAGGCAGAAGCAGGAGGATCTCTGGTGAGTTCGAGGCCAGCCCTGGTCTTAGTGAGTTCCAGACCAGCCAGGACTGTTAAGATCCTGTCTTTAAAAAACAAACAAAAAATACATTTACTTTTTTCGACTTGGGGGGGGGGGTAGGTAAGGAAGGGTGCATGTATGCCACAGTACTTGTCTAAGAACTTGCAAAAGTTGGTTCTCTCCTATCTGTGAGTGTGGGGAACTAAACTCAGGTCATCACACTTGGCAGCAAGCACTTTTACCCACCGAGCATCTCGATGACTCTTGTATGTTTTGAATTTTCACTTTCTTGATTATATAATTTAAATCAAATGTT